TATATATACATAACGACGGATTAACAACACTCATCAACTAACCTAAACGAAACGCAGCTGCTGCAGACACGGCCGTCGATACCGAGCGCGTTATCGAGACCCAAACAGGTATAGCTTGCTTGCTTGTCCAACTCAAGGTCAAGGAGCACTCTAACTAACTATCTATCTATGTCTAACTATATGTAACCATTTGCATCTTTCTCATTTCAAAGTTGATACACCTATATATCTGTTATGTTTTGTTTTGTGCATCAACTAATCGAAGTTTCTTATGTAGAGCGTGGCGCCACACCAGCTGCTGGAGATGGTCAGGAGGGATATGTGACCCGAAAGCATGAATGGGAGTCGGCTACCAAGAAGGCCTCCAATAGATCCTGGGATAAGGTAAGCAACAACAACAAGATATTGASAATATTGATTTGATAAATATCTTTGCTCTATACATTTATAAATCTAATATACGTTGTCTTTCAGGTTTACATGGCTGCACGAAGCGGACGCGTTTCGTTCTTCAAAGATCAGAAGGGTTGCAAGAGCAATCCCGAATTGACCTTCCGCGGTGAGCCCAGTTATGATCTGCAGGGCGCTGTCATCGAAATAGCCAGTGATTATACCAAGAAGAAGCACGTGCTGCGAGTAAAGTGAGTATTGAAATGCGAAATCGAATTGGAGGAGCTCTATTAATCGAATCCCTCTCTTCTTTCTTCTAATGCTTAGGCTCGCTAGTGGCGCTGAGTTCTTGCTGCAGGCCCACGATGATACCGAGATGTCACAGTGGGTGTCCGCTTTGAAGGCCCAGAGCGAATCGGCAGCTGTGGCGGCTAGCAGATCCCAAACTTTGCCAGCTACTTCACAAAAGGACGAACCAAAGCGCAGATCGTTTTTTACTTTAAAGAAAAAGTAAATGCAATTATATAAGAGCAGCTAATTAAAACAATACAAAAAAAAAAAAAAAAACAACAACAACAAAAATTCATATATTTTTTTCATATATTTAATGCAAAACTTATTTCATAAAAAAAAAAAAATCTTGCAAGAGAGAAAGAGCAAAACGTAAACGTAAAACATTATTATGCTTATCAAATTTGCACGATAAATACTGCTATTATTGATTAAACGTATGTATCTTATTTATTTAAACAAATACAAAGTAATATAAATATAAAGAAAACAAAAAAAAAAACACACAAAAAAAAAAAACTGAGAACAACTCGTGTATGCATTTCAATGTATTCGATAAATAAACGAATTATTCCTCTACAGTACACACACAAATTGTTGCCATTTAATCTGCTATAGTATGTAGCGCATCCATTAAACTCACGCACAATCAATGGGGCGGGAGCACAACAGCGGGCTTTACTGTACTAGACAGTCAGTAGTAATTGAGGGTTGATTTATGCTTGAAATTGGGTTGAGCTGCGATGAGGTCATAATAACAACAACAAAAGAAAGAACAAATTTTCGTTAAGCCGACTGGCTGAATGAAAGGTCATCCAGTTGCAGCTACTGACAAGTTGTACATGTGCATTTATTTTTAGAAAATTTGACCTGGTTTTTGAACTGCTACGCTGCCCGCAATTGTAGTTTTTGAAAAAAGCCAGTGCTGCCAGATACTGTCGCTCGATAAGTTGGGCGAAAAATTGCAACAACATTAATCGATAATTGTTTTTGTTTTTTATTTTCGCAAGCAGGTTGGCAGCCTCGCGTAGCAGGCAGAACAACGGCGACTATTAATTGATTAAATATATTTCACTTAACTTAAGAAATGCATAACAAACTAACGTGCATTGTTGTTGAACTTAATCAACAATTTAAAGTATATTAGTGAGATAAGTGTACTAAATCAACGCAAGAGTTATATTGTTTTTTTTTTCTTTTTGTTATTTTTTTGCTCACAAACACAGACACAAGTGCAATGAAAATGAAAACTACGATTCATTCTAAGCCACTATTTGTGCGTGTGTCTCTTGTCTGCGTGTGTGCGTGAGAAGACTGTTCGCGTGTGTGGGTGTGTTGGTTGGTCTGACGACATTGACTGAGCCTGCAACTGGGCCGATGGCCGCCCGCCCGTCCGACCGCCTGCTGCCCGCTGCTCGCTGTTCGCTGCCTCGTACAAGCAGCTAGTAACCGTTACTCTGCTTCTTCTTCTAATCGTGTGTCTTGCCACAACAGAAGCAAGTAGAGAATAGTCAAGAATAGTCAAGAAAAAAAACGAACAATAAGAAAGAACAAAAATAAACAATAAAAAAGAAAACAATCAAAGGTATTAAAAAGAAAAACGAAAGTCTTGGAAAAAAAAACAAATGTGCCATGTTAATATTGGATGCAGCAGCGTTTGCTGGATTCCAGTGCTGTGAACACTTATACTAAGGACACACATTCACTCCCACGCGCGCGCTCTCCCCCGCCATGTTCACGTTCAATCGGCTGGGCAACGCTGGAACGGCCTCTGCTGCTGCCGCCGCTGCAGCGGCCGCTTCAGAAGCTCCGGCACATACGTCCAGCGGCTCCAGCAGCCATGCCAGTGTTGCCACACCCATCAGTGATCTCTATTTGCGCCCACTGCCCTACCTGGACGCCAAATGGCTACGCGCCGATCTCATTGCCTGCCTGCGTAACGGTGCCGAGGGCGCTGTGCTCTGGAATCATCTGATTCAGGATTGCGAACTGGTGTCCTCGCCGACGGCACCGCTGCTGAATGCACGCGGCCAGCTCTCCTACCTGGGCGACGATGGCAAGCACTACTGTGGCGCCCAGGCGCTGCAGTGCGCCTGCTGCCAGCCCGAGTACTGCGGCCCACTCTCCGCCTGCAACTGCGACGGCTGCCGACCCCTCGACTCGGACATGGCCATCAAGAAGCTAACCTCGGCGGCGGCCCAGCAGGCAACGGCCGGGCAACTGCACGCCACAGAGCTGACGCTGAGCAGCTGGATGTGGAGCCAGCCGCCCAACCAGCTAGCCAAGCACGACTGCCAGCGCACCATGATCGCTGAGCTCCACGACCTCTCGCTGCGCGCCGCCGGCAACTGCCTCTCGGCGCAGCAACTGCGCCAGCAGCTATTCATCTACGAAAGATATTTTGTGGCCCTCAAGCGAAATCTACTGCAGCAGCAGCAGCAGAACCAGCACCAGCAGCAGCAGCAATCGACACATCCGTCTTCAGCCACACAGCAGCAGTCGGAGGACTGCACTGCGCCCGCACCACCCGAACAGGAGCAGCCGCGACGCCCGCCGCAGATGGAGCCGGAGCATGCGGCGCTGGGCTTGGCGCGCGTCGGCACACGAGCCGCGCTCAACTTCAGCTTCGCCTTTCTGCGTCGCGCCTGGCGCTCCGGCGAGGATATGGAAATGTGCAGCGAGCTGCTGAGTGAGGCTCTGGAGTCGCTGCAGGAGCTGCCGGAGGCGACGCTCTTCGACTCGGCCGCCCAGGTGTCACCGCTCTGGCTGGAGGTGATGGAGCGCTCGATCAAGTTTCTGCGTCTCGTCGCCCTCGGCGATCCCATGGGCGGACGCTGCCTGGCCCCGCTGGCGGATAGGCACACGGCTCTGTGCCTGCTGCTGGAGCTGGGCGTGCAGAAGGGCACGCTGGCCGCCACGCTGGAGTGCGTGGTGCTGCTGCTGCTGCTCTGGGAGAAGGACAACGACAATGGCCATGCCCATGGCCACGTGCACGGCCACGCCCACGCCCACGGACATGGCGGCGTGAATGGCGATAATCGTGACATGCCACGCAAGTCGGGCGCTCCGCTGCTGCGCATCCTGCAACGGTATCAGCGCCTGGGCGCCGAGCCAGTGCATCATAGTCACAGTGGCTGCCCCAATCCGAACGTGGAGCTGCCGACGCCGCTGGCCAGTGCCACCGAAACGTTTCTGCGCTTTCTCATGCTGCCCAAGAGCTCGGCGGCCATAGTGGATCTACGGCGTGCTGCTGTGGTCATCATCTCCCATCTGGATCGGCTGGTGCAGCCGCATATGCCGCAGCGAACGAATCTCATGCCCACAGCGGCACCGGCCACGGCCACGCCCACAACGACGCCCACAAACATGTGGGAGCAGCAACGCGTCTACGCCCTGGGCTGGCCGGCGCTCTCCAAGGAGCAGCCGGGCTTCAATGTGGAGCCCGCCCTGAGCTGGAGCAATGCATCCGCACAGCAGCCGCCGGCACCGCCACCGCCGCCGCTGCTCCCCTGCAAGTTCCAGCTGCAGCAGGTGGCCTGCAGCGAGGATGTGGTGCTGCTGCTCAGCAAGGAGGGCAAGCTCTACAACTGGCACATTGCCAAGCCGGAGGCGGAGCCCCAGCAGCTGGACTTTGCCGAAATAGCCAACGAGACGTTCATCTCCATAGCCGCCCACTGCGAGGGCCGCCACTTCCTGGCCGTGGACAGCAACTGTAAGTGGGAGCTACCGCCAAATGGAGTAGCGAAGCTTTGGCTAATCTTTCTTTCCCTCTTTCAGTTAACGCGTATTCGTGGGGAGTCGGGGACAGCCGGCGATTGGGGCACGGCGATTGCCACGCCCGCGAGCTGCCCACCAAAATCGAGAGCTTGGTGCGCCTGGTCAAGTCCGTCTACTGCGGCTGCTCCTACAGCGCGGCCATCACGCTGGGCGGCAATCTCTATACGTGGGGCCGCGGCACCTACGGCCGTCTGGGACATGGCACCTCGGATGATCAGTGTCTGCCCGCCATGGTGATGGCGCTCAAGGATCACCAGGTGGTGGACGTGGCGCTGGGCAGCGGCGATGCCCATACGCTGTGCCTCACCAGCGAGGGACTGGTCTTTGCCTGGGGCGATGGCGACTACGGGAAGCTGGGCAACGGCAGCTGCAACAGCAGCCTCCTGCCGCAGCTCATCGACTGCCTGCCGCGGGTGCAGCGCGTCTTTGCGGGCGCCCAGTTCTCGCTGGCGCTCAGCTGCGAGGGCCAGCTCTACAGCTGGGGCAAGGCCACCTGCCTGGGCCACCAGCTGGTCGAGCGCAACGTGCAGGGCTGCAGTGTGCCCAGATTGATAACCGGCCTGCAGGTGAGTCTGGGCATGGGCCATCAGGAATCTGTTTTGGGTATGGGCTAATCCTGGTTTCGTTCTGATTTGCAGCACAAGCGCATTGTGGATGTGGCCGTGGGCGTGGCCCATTGCTTGGCACTGAGCAGCAGCGGCGAGATCTTTGGCTGGGGTCGCAACGATAATCAGCAGATCTGTCCCGCCTCCGTTTGCAGCGAACCGCTGCTCCGGCAGCCCATCCAGGTCACCCTGCCCACGCTGCCGGCCAGCGGCATTGCCTGCACGGCCGCACAGAGCCTGATCTGGACGCAGAGCACGCGGCAGGGTGTGCCGTTGCGTGCGCCGTTTGTCATCGACCTGGGCGAACCCACATTCCGACTGCTCGACCAGCTGCTGGGCATGTGCAGTGCCAGCACGGCGCAGGATAATCGCCAGACACCCAACCAGGAGTCCGAATGCATTGCCGTCGCCTGCCTCAATCTGGTGCGGCTCCAGCTGCTGGCGCTGATCGCCAACGGCGTGGAGCCGCGCACCGTCGGCCTGGCCAGCGGCGGGCGACTGCTCAACAGCCTCAAGACCCGCATCCTCAGTCTAGCCGGCGGCAGCCAGGTGCTGCGCACCATCCAAGTGGCCGCCCAGCAGGCACTCCAGGTACTGGAGTGAACTCTCCTTTATGCTAATCCTGAATATGCATCTCATCACATCTCTTGATTACTCTCCCTTTGCAGGATGGCTGGAGCGTCCTCCTGCCGACGGCAGCGGAACGCGCACAGACGCTAACGGCACTGCTGCCCTCGGAGCCGGGGCAGGCCTGCTCGCCGGGACATCGCTTCATGACAGATCTGCTGGTCAGCTCGCTGATGGCCGAGGGCGGCCTGGAGACGGCGCTCCAGCACGCCATACGACTGGAGAGCAGCTCCTGCTCCACGGATTGCAACGACGGCGCACATCTGCCGCTGCTGCAGCTGATCACGCGGCTGCTGGGCAACAATGCATCGCTCACGCAGAGTCGCCTCTCCCTGACGCTGCTGGTCAAGCAGCAACAGCAACAGCAGCAGCAGCAGCAGCACCAGCAACAACAGCCCCCAGAGGAGGAGCACCTGCACCACCATCACCACCACCACCAGTACCAGCACCACCTGTACCACCAGCATCAGCATCAGCATCAACATCACCATCACCAGCATCAGCAGCAGCAGCAACAGTTCCTGCTGCAGCAGCAACAACAGCCCGGCACGAGTCCCAGTCTCTGTTTGCTGCATCGCTTCCAGCGGCTGCTCCTGGCGCACATTCATCAGGCGGGCCCCGAGGAGGACACAACGGGAGCCGAGGCGCTGCTCGCCCAATACCTGCACAGCCTGATTCCGGCCTGCGTCAGCACGCTGCAACAGGCCCAGGAGCTGGCCCTGCAGTGCCGGGAGTCGGGCGAGCTGGTGACGCTGGGCGCCCAGCTATTGGGCGCCGCGCTGAATCGTGTGCTCCAGTCGGACATCTCGGACGCGCTGCTGCACGAGCTGCTGGTTGGGCTGGTGCTGCTGAAGCGGGATCGCCCCCAGTGCCTGGCCAGCCTGCGCTGGGCCCGCCTCTTCCTGCCGCTGCTGCGTGTGCTCGATCGCCTGAACCGCGCGCTGGGCGAGGGCGAACTGCGCGACAACGACGACATGGGCTGGCCGGGCATCATTTGTCGCGGCGGCCCCAAAGGCGGAGCACCGCCCCCAGCTGCCGACCCGGAGACGCACTACGTCCGGCGCTGCGACATGGAGAATCTGCTGCTCGACGGCGGACGCTGCATCATTGTGGCCGGCTACGTTTGTGATCTCAATGGCTACAAGTGAGTGAGGAGAGGGGATTCATATCCATATCCAGAGTTGATTTCAATTGCCTTCATACTGTGTCTCCTTACAGCTGTGAGTCGGATAACATGCGAGCCCTGCTGGATCTGGGTCTGGGCAAGGATCTCAGCGCGGAGCTGAGCACGCCGGCGTATCGCAGCGCCATGGAGCAGCTGTTGCAGCACCACAAGCTGGGCAAATATCTAGCCAACCAGAACGCCAACGAGGATAAGGTAAGACACCTCCTAGCTGAATCCATCATTGAGGCAATCCATTGACATTGCCATGCCTTTGCAGACCGCCACGCCGGGTGCCACCCGCCTGACGCACTTCAGCTCGGAGTGTGCGCTGGCCCAGCTGCTGGGCCTGGTCGCCAATCTCATGTGCAGCGGTCCGGGCCTGCAGCCAGCGGAGCTGCAGTGCCGCCAGCTGGACAAGTCGTCGCTGCTCAGCGGTGGCCTGCTCATGCTGCAGCCCAACAATCCGTTTGACGAGGAGAAGGGCGAGGCGCGCAGCAGTCACAGCACGGCGGGCAACACGCCCACGGAGGCACCGCTGCCGCCGCCACCCAAGGCGCAGCTGCAGAATCGCGTGGACAGCTTCATAGCGGGACTGGCGGAGGCGCGACTCAGTGAGCCGCTGGTGGCCAATTGGCTGACACTGACCGAACGCTACTGCAAGGCGCACAATTTGATGTGGCACCAGGAGTTCGCCACCGAGCATCCGGTGCAGGAGCTGGAGCGTCTACTGAGCGCCGTTCTGTTGCGGCATCAGTGCCTGGGCGGCTTGGTGCTCAGCGCTCTGGAGGCGATGCCCTTGGGCGAACAGCAGCAGCAGCAACAGCAGCAGCAGTCGCTGCCCAAGCAGCTGGGCGAGATCATACGATTGGTGCACCAGGCCAAGTGGTCGGTGGTGCGGACGCGGCAGCAGCTCAATCGCAGCTACAAGGAGGTCTGTGCGCCCGTGCTGGAGCGTCTGCGCTTCCTGCTCTACGAGGTGCGTCCCGCCATCACTCCGCAGCAGCGCGGACTGCGCCGGCTGCCAATTTTGCAGCGTCTGCCGCGATTCCGGCTGCTGGTGCGACGCCTCCTGCAGGAGCTGCGCACCGCCAAGCAACAGCCGGCGGCCAAGCCCGAGGATCTGCTCAATGCCAGCATCCAGCAGCAGCAGCAGCAACAACAACAAGCTGTTGCAACGGAGCTGCTCATCTATGATCACGAACAGCAGCAGCAGCAGCAGCAGGAGGAGGAGAAAAAGAAGCCCAAGCAGCAGAAGCAACTGGACGAGGAGGAGTCGCTGCTGCGCCGCCTCAACGAACGCCAGCTACAGACGGACATCGAGCTGGATGCGACACTCATGCAGGACATCGTGGACTTTGCGCTCCAGGACAGCTGCGACGTGGAGACGGTGCGACGCGCCATGTACTGCCAAATGCAGCGCTTCCAGCTGCGTCTGGCCGGGCTGCAGCTGGTGCAGCAGCTTCTGGAGCTGCACGGCCTGCTGGACGCCGCCCAGTACAGCCTGCTCAATGGCTACCTGGGACTGCATCTGAAGTCGGCGGCCAGCGGAGCGTCGCCGCAGCATGTGCTCGGCCAGCTGAACATGGTGAGCGCGTACCAGAAGGCACGCCTCCTGCTCGCCCAGTCGCGGGTCCTCGACTGGGCTGTGCGCGAGCTGCGTCGCCTGGTCAACCAGGAGCAGCAGGGCGCCGCCCGCGGCAAGGATAGCTGCAACCTGAGCACCTACGTGCTGCTCAAGCGCTTGCCACGTGCCCGCTTCCTGATCAGCGTCTTCGGGCTGCTGGCCAAGGAGCTGGGCGCCAACGAGCTGGGACTGCTCATCAACTCGGGCCTGCTGGGCACCGTCCTGGGCCTGCTGGCCCAGACGGGCGGCGAGGGCAACGTCAAGCCGAACAACTGCGAGCTGAGCGTCCTCTACGAGGACAGCGTGCTGAAGCAGAAGTGCAGCAAGGCGCAGCTGAGCGGACCGGATCTGGCCAAGCTCATGAAGATCGGCACGCGCATTGTGCGCGGCGCCGACTGGAAGTGGGGCGATCAGGATGGCAATCCGCCGGGCGAGGGGCGCATCATCAGCGAGGTGGGCGAGGACGGGTAAGTGGCAACAAACAGCAGGAGCAGCTGCAGCTGCAGCAGGAGCGCCTTAAGATTCCATTTCTAATAATGCAATTCCCCCTCAACAGGTGGGTGCGTGTCGAGTGGTATACGGGCGCCACCAACTCCTATCGCATGGGCAAGGAGGGCCAATACGATCTTCAGCTGGCGGACAGCGCTCTCAATGTTGCATCACCGACGGAGCCAGAGCGCGAAGAGCTGGGCACATTGGAACCACCGCCCAGCAGCGAATCGCATCCCACCAAGCTTCTGAGGCACTGCGCCTCCAAGCTGCTGCAAATCCTGGCCGTGGGCAGTGGCCTGCACGGCGCCCAGCTGGACAAGTACGCGCTCCGTGGCATCACGAGCATGTTCCGTGCTATAGTCGATCCGAAGCCGGCGCTGGCCAATGTGGTGCACTGCCTCAGCTGGCTGAACCTTGGCTTTATACGTGCCATAGCAGGTGAGCAGGCGCAAGAATCCACCAATCCGATGGTATTCTGACCATAAATATGTTGGATTTTTGGTGCTCCTTCCAGGTGATTGTCCACGGCTGTGCCTGGAGCTGAGCTCCCCGAATTGGCTGTCGCATTACTTTGCGCTGCTGGAGCAGCCGGCGGGCACGGAGCGTGGAGTGTATCGACAGCTGCATTGCCTGCGCCTGATGCAGTGCATCCTCAGCTCGTGGGGCGTGGAGCAGGAGCCGCGCATGGCTGGCCTGGTGCGTCAGCTCTTCGCCACGCTCGGACGCATCGCATTGCATTGTCCGGGCGATGTGACACTGCAGCCGGTGCAGGAGGGCGGCAAGGCGCGAGTCCTGCTGACCGCCTCCCACTCGGGCAGCGTGGCCGAGGAGCTGGTGGCACTGCTGCGTCGCCTGCACACACTGCCGCATTGGAATGCGGTGATCAACTCGTTCCTGGCACAGAAGCTCTGCGTCGCCGCCGAACTGCTGCAGGGCGAATCGCAGCTGCCGCAGACGCCGCTGGACACGGAGCAGAGCCTGGTGCTGGGCGTGCTGAGCGCCATGGGCGGCTACGACTTGCGTCCGCGTGTCGGCCTCCATTGCTTCCACGAGGGCAGCCACATGATCATCGCCAGCTTCACCCACAAAGGCCGCTGCCTGCTGGCCTACAGCGCTCCGCCGGCGGTCGCCAATCTGGCGCAGGGCTTGGTGAAGGTGCCGCTGGCAACGGTGCTGCCGCAGCTGGACCACAGCGTGTTCAGCCTGACGCGTCTGCCCATGAACGAGATGCTGCTGAACGCCTGGACCGTGCTGCTCTACGGCGCCGCCAGCCCCAGCCCCAGCTCCAGCTCGAGCGCCGGCAACTGGGAGCTGCTCAATGCGGGCGAGGGCAAGCTGGACGTGCGCTTGCTGCGCAGCCAGCAGCTGCAGCTGGCGGTGCTGCACACGAACGGCGTGCTCTACCGGCACCAGGCGGCGCTGCGCAAGATACTCAAGCAGCGGGCACCGGCCAGCGTCTACAGCAGCAACGAGTGCAGCGAGGAGCCGGAGGCGGAGGCGCTCAACGAGGCGGAACTGGAGCTGCAGTCGGAGCACACGGAGGCCAACAACAGCAGCAGCGGCAACCACAGCAACAACCACAACAACAATGGCAACAACAACAGGTAAGGAGTGAATGCATTGCTGGAGAGGATCACACATCTAACTAACTGCCCCTCTCCCTCTCCCTCTCGCGCAGCCATCAACCGTCGGAGCAGCTGCTCATACAGGTCCTGCTGCTGCGCGCCACGCAGCCGTCCCCGGTGAAGGCGTGCTATAGCTATACGGATCTGGCCACGGCGGCGCTCAACTGCGTCCAGACGCTGGCCAGCCAGGCGTATCAGCAGCTGAACGCGGAGAATGCGCTGCAGCCGGTGCACTTGGCCAGCCCAGCGCAGCCGACCATGGTCCATGGCATCGCCGTTTACAATGTGGCCAAGGAGCAGTCGGCACCTGCGCAAGCGGATCAGCTCAGCCAGGCAGCGCCGCCGGCTAGCGATGCACAGCTAATTGAGCAGATTATGGAAATGGGATTCACGCGACGCAATGTGGAGCTGGCGTTGAAGCAGCTGTCGCTGCAGGCGGAGGCTGTGCCGACGCCGGAGCAAATCGTCCAATGGATACTGGAGCATCCGGATGTCTGTGCGAATACCATCGATGTGGAGGCAGTGGAGCCGACAGCGGCGGCAGCAGCAGCGGCCGCCAATGGCAGCAGTCGCAGCAGCAGCAGCAGCACCACCACCACCACCACCACCAGCACCACCAGCAGCAACAGCAGCACCTCCTCATCCTCCGACACGGTCGAGGATCAGCCGGTGCAGAAGTTCGATACGCGCAAAGATTTTCCCACTGCCGATCATTATGCGCTCTATGTCCGGGGATTGGTGCGTCCGGGCATGCTGGTGCGTTGCTGTCGCGACTTCGAGGAGATCAAGCAGGGCGACATGGGCACCGTGCTCATTGTGGACACGGAGGGGCTGCACGATCTGAACGTGCAGGTGGATTGGCGCAATCATGGCAGCACCTACTGGGTATGCTTCGTGCACATCGAACTGGTGGAGGCGGCACAGCCGGGAGCACATTTACTCCCACTGCCACGCCCGCCGCCGCCCATAGCTGTGGGCGCCCGGGTGAGGCAACTGATGCGGCTGGGCGGCTCACGGAGCCAGCTGGAGTACGGCCTGGTGACGGCGATGCGGGGCAAGCAGCTGACAGTCGAGTTTCCCGACCAGCCCAACTGGCAGGGTCACATCAACGACGTGGAACCGAGTCCAACAGTCGCTGCGGCGGCGACGCCGGGGGCAGCCGGAGCCACAACAGCAGCTGCTGGACAAGCTCCGGCTGCGGCTGGGGCTGCGGCAGCGGGGTCTCAAGTCGATCTCATTGAGGATTGGTCGCGCTGCATACGCTCGCTGAGCGTGAGCTCCAACGAGGCGGCAGCGAAGCATCTGCTCGACGGCAGCGGCCTGGCCTGGCAGAGCTGCTCGAGCGGCGCCTGCCGGCATTGGATACGCCTGGAGCTGCACGATCGCATCCTGGTGCACAGTCTGGCGCTGCGCGTCAGCCCGGAGGATCATTCGCACATGCCGTCGCTGGTGGAGGTGCGTGTGGGTGACTGCATCGACAGCCTCAAGGAGTACACCTGGGTGCCCGTGGGATCGACCGTGAATCGGGTGGTGCTGATGCAGCAGACGGTCTCCTATTATCCCTGGATCGAGATTGTGATCAAGCAGTGCCAGAACAATGGCATCCAGTGCAAGGTGCACGGCATCGAGTTTATCGGACGTCGCCAGCAGCCGGACATCCAGCACATGCTGGCCAATGCCCAGTTCCTGGCCTGTGAGTATGGCAGCACGAATGGAGGCGCGGGCGCAGCGGCAGCGGCGGCCATGGCAGCAACAGCCGCAGCAGCAGCTGCCGGAGGAGCAGGAGCAACAGCCGGAACATCGAGCAGTGCGCAAATAGCTGAGAGCCTAACCGGGCATGCCGACCAGGAGCTGCCCTGCACGGTCATGGTGTGGGGCCTCAACGACAAGGAGCAGCTGGGCGGCCTGAAGGGCTCCAAGGTGAAGGTGCCCACCTTCTCGCCGACAATAAGTCGCCTGCGTCCCATCCACATAGCCGGCGGCTCGAAGTCCCTCTTTGTGGTGAGCCAGGATGGCAAGGTGTATGCCTGCGGCGAGGGCACCAATGGACGACTTGGCCTCGGGGTCACCCACAATGTGCCGCTGCCCCATCAGCTGCCGGTGCTGCATCAGTATGTGGTGAAGAAGGTAGCGGTTCACTCGGGCGGCAAGCACGCCCTCGCCCTGACCCTGGACGGCAAGGTGTTCAGCTGGGGCGAGGGCGAGGACGGCAAGCTGGGGCACGGCAATCGCAGCACGCTGGACAAGCCGCGACTGGTGGAAGCGCTGCGCGCCAAGAAGATACGCGACATTGCTTGCGGCTCATCCCATTCGGCGGCCATCAGCAGCCAGGGCGAGCTCTACACGTGGGGCCTGGGCGAGTACGGGCGACTGGGCCACGGTGACAACGCCACCCAATTGAAGCCCAAGCTGGTGGCTGCGCTCAGTGGACGTCGGGTCATTCAGGTGGCCTGCGGCAGTCGCGATGCCCAGACGCTGGCGCTGACCGAGGACGGCGCCGTCTTCAGCTGGGGCGATGGCGACTTTGGCAAGCTGGGCCGCGGCGGCAGTGAGGGCTCCTCGACGCCGCACGAGATCGAGCGTCTCTCGGGCATCGGCGTCATCCAGATCGAGTGCGGCGCCCAGTTCAGCTTGGCCTTGACCCGAGCCGGCGAAGTGTGGACCTGGGGCAAGGGCGACTACTATCGCCTGGGCCACGGCGGGGATCAGCACGTGCGCAAGCCTCAGCCCATTGCCGGACTGCGTGGCCATCGCGTCATCCACGTGGCCGTCGGTGCGCTGCACTGCCTGGCCGTCACGGACGCGGGACAGGTCTATGCCTGGGGCGACAACGACCACGGACAACAGGGCAGCGGGAATACGTTTGTGAACAAGAAGCCGGCCCTGGTGATCGGGCTGGATGCGGTGATCGTGAATCGTGTGGCATGCGGCAGCTCCCACTCCATGGCCTGGGGTCTGCCCAACGCCAGTTTGGATGAGGAGAAGCGCGGCCCGGTGCCCTTCGGGTGCACTCGGGATCCGCTCGGCGGCAGCAGCCTGGGCATCTACGAGGCGGAGACACAGCAGCATACGCACACCACGCCGGATATGGCCGGCAAGCCGGACGTGCGGCCGAGCACCTCGGCTGCAGCAGCGGCGGCAGCAGCAGCCGCGGCTGCCTCCTGCTCAGCGTCGGGCTCCGGCACCGGTACCGGCTCGACTCTGGCCAGTCTCAGCGAGAGCCTGGCACTGGAGACGCCAGCTGCACGGCAAGCGGCGCTGGGACATGTGCTCCGGGCAATGAGCATCTTGCAGGCGAGGCAGCTCATTGTCGCCGCACTCACCAGCCACAGCAAGGTCAACTACAAGGAGTCGGCGGCCAGGCATGCCGGCGCGCACATCGAACTGGAGGAGCAGCTGAACACGGCTGCCGGCACTGGGAGTGGATCGGCAGCAGCAACATCAGCAGCAGCAGGAGGAGGAACTACGACCACAGCAGCAGCAGTCGCTGCCGCAGCCGCAGCTGGAGCTACGACTATTGCCCAGGGCGGAGGCGAGGCACCAGCGGATGTCAGCGATGTAGAGCCACAGCCGCAGCACAGTCCAGAGGAGATGCCTTTGCCGGCGGCAGTGATGAGCTCGGGATTGAGCGCCTTCCAGAGCCTGACCGGCTCACTGTCCATGTCGGGCATGTCGGCGGGCTCGCACTCGCGGATGTCGGCCAGCGCGATGTCAGTGATGGCCGCCACGATGACGCAGCAGGAGGAGATGCTGGCCCAATTCAGTCACAATCACGGACTGGACGATTTCGGTGCCCTGCTGCAGGAGGCGGAGGCGAAGAGCCTGGTCGAGCTGCTCAAGCTGGCGGTGTGCGGACGCTGCGGCCCGCCCAGCACCGCCCAGACCATAGCCGAGACCCTAATCTCGCTGAGCAGCAATGCGGGCATTGCGGCCATGCTGCTGGAGACGTGCATCACGGAGCTGGAGGATCTGTGCACGTCGCGCCACTGCCTGGGCAAGCTGCCCAAGCCGGTGATGCAGGAGAGCAGCCATCCCTACGTGGACAACATGAATGTGAGTGGAACTGTTCGCATTCCGGGCGCCGAGATGCTGCGCATCGAGTTCGACAGCCAATGCAGCACGGAGAAACGCAACGATCCGCTGGTGATCATGGATGCATCCGGTCGCATGTTGGCCATGCGCTCGGGCCGCGAATTCGCCCACTGGGCGCCCGAGATCCGGGTGCCCGGCGATGAGCTGCGCTGGAAGTTCTGCTCGGACAGCTCGGTGAACGGCTGGGGCTGGCGCTTCTGGGTGCACGCCATCATGCCGGCTGCCACGCTGGGCGAGAGTGGCTCGGACCGTGCCGTATTGTCGCAGCCATCGATGGCGCTGGTCATGGCGCTGCTCGATGCGCGGCTTGCGCCACGCCAGCCCCAGGTGCTGCTCCGGCTGGCCGCGGCGCTGGCGGCCTGCGCCCAACTGGGCGCCCTGAGCACGGCCCAGCGCATCTGGGCGCTGAAGAAGCTGCACGCGGTGCTCCTGCTGGAGCAGGCGCCCAAGCCGCAGGAGCCCGCCTTGGCGGCCATACTAATGCCCCTCATCCCGGAGCTACTGCGTCAGTACGAGTACGAGGAGCCGCAGGTGCGCGGAGGCATTCATCTGATGCACTCGGATTACTTCAAGACGCTGGCGGCGCTCGCCTGCGACATGCAACTGGACGCCGCCCTGCCCACCACCGGCAGCGGCATCTGCAGCAGCACAAGCGCGTCTTGTGCTGGAGCAAGCGGATCTGTGACTGGCTTCATCGGCGGCGGAGGCGTTGGCGTTGGCGGCGGAGGCGGCAGCAGCAGCAGCCTCAACTCGAACGCATCGGGGGATATGCACAAGTGGGCGTGGTTCAAGCGCTACTGCATTGCGGTGCGCGTGGCCCAATCCCTGATCAGACGCACGGAGCTGCCCCGTCAATTCTGCCTGGAGGTGCGCAAGAAGTTTGCCGAGATGCTGCCGACGCCAGTGCCCAGTGCAGTGGCTGCTGGCTGCCAATCTCCGGGCGCCTCGCTGATCAACTCGACCACATCGCTCTCGTCCAGCACGGTGAGCAATGCCTCTGCCACGGACCAGCAGCAGCAGCAGCTGCAGCTGCAGCAGGTGCATGCGCATCAATTGGCCCAGCAGGAGATGCTGCTGCTGGAGCAGCTGCAGCCGCAGCCGTTGCAGCTGCTGCTGCACGAGGATCACACGCTGTTCCAGGCGCCGCACGACGCCCAGCTGCTGCAGTGGCTCAATCGCCGGCCAGACGACTGGGCCCTCAGCTGGGGCGGCGCCAGCACCATCTACGGCTGGGGCCACAATCATCGCGGCCAGCTGGGCGGCCTGGAGGGCAGCAGAATCAAGACACCGACGCCCTGCGAGGCGCTCAGCCTGCTGCGGCCGGTGCAGCTGGCCGGCGGCGAGCAATCCCTGTTTGCTGTCACGCCGGATGGCAAGCTGTTCGCCACGGGCTACGGCTCCGGCGGACGCCTGGGCGTCGGCGGCAGCGACTCGTGGGCCATACCCACGCTGCTGGGCTCCCTGCAGCATGTGTTCGTCAAGAAGGTGGCCGTCAATTCCGGGGGCAAGCACTGCCTCGCCCTGACCACCGACGGCGAGGTGTACGCCTGGGGCGAGGGCGAGGACGGGAAGCTGGGGCACGGCAATCGCATGAGCTACGATCGGCCCAAACTGGTGGAGCATCTGAATGGCATGAGCGTGGCGGACATTGCCTGCGGCAGCGCCCACTCGGCGGCGATAACGGCGAGTGGACACGTCCTGACCTGGGGCAAGGGTCGCTACGGTCGCCTGGGACATGGCGACTCGGAGGATCAGCTGCGGCCGAAGCTGGTGGAGGCGCTGCTGGGCTATCGGGCCATTGACATTGCCTGCGGCTCGGGGGATGCCCAGACGCTGTGCATCACGGACGACGACAATGTCTGGAGCTGGGGAGATGGTGACTATGGCAAGCTGGGACGCGGCGGCAGCGATGGCTGCAAGCTGCCCTACAAGATCGAGAGTCTCGCCGGCCTGGGCGTCATCAAGGTGGAGTGTGGCTCACAGTTCTCCGTGGCGCTAACCAAATCCGGCGCCGTCTATACCTGGGGCAAGGGCGACTTCCATCGCCTCGGCCACGGATCGGTGGAACATGTGCGGCGTCCCAAGAAAGTGGCCGCGCTGCAGGGCAAGAAGATCATCTCGATTGCGACCGGCTCGCTGCACTGCGTCGCCTGCAGCGATGCCGGCGAGGTCTTCACCTGGGGCGACAATGACGAGGGGCAGCTGGGCGATGGCACCGTGACGGCTATACAACGGCCACGCCTGGTCGCCGCCCTCCAGGGCAAGCACATCGTGAAGGTCACCTGTGGCTCGGCCCACACGTTGGCCCTGTCCACCTCGCAGTTGAGTGAACGACTGCGTCCGCTGCCCAATCCGCCGCTCGAATACGACTTGGTGCGTGACCTGCCGCCGGAGGCGCTGCACGCCCGGCTCATCCTGCTGCACCACTTCTCCGAGCTGCTCTGTCCCTGCTTGGCCATGCTGCCCATTTCGGGAGACTTGAGCCTGGGCGCCCTGAAGGACGTGCTCGTCTACAACATCAAGGAGGCCGCGTTCCGCAAGGTCATCCAAACGACAATGGTGCGAGACAAACAGCATGGACCCGTCATCGAGCTGAATCGCATCCAGGTGAAGCGCTCCCGTAGCCGTTGCAATGGCTTGGCCGGCGTCGATGGCATGAAGAGCGTCTTTGGCCAGATGGTGCAGAAGCTGCCGCTGCTCACCCAGGAGGCGCTCGCCCTGCCCCATCGCGTGTGGAAGGTCAAGTTTGTCGGCGAGAGCGTGGACGACTGCGGCGGTGGCTACAGCGAGTCCATTGCGGAGATGTGCGACGAGCTGCAGAACGGCAGTGTTCCACTGCTGATCAGCACACCCAATGGCCGTGGCGAGGCGGGTGCCAACCGAGATTGCTTCCTGCTGGACCCAACCCTGACCTCCGTGCTGCAGATGAACATGTTCCGCTTCCTGGGCGTGCTCATGGGCATAGCCGTGCGCACCGGCTCGCCGCTGAGTCTCAAGTAAGTTCAGCTGGAATGAATATACAATGACAACACAATTTAACCCCATCTCTTTCTTCCTTCAGCTTGGCGGAGCCTGTTTGGCGTCAGCTGACGGGCGAGCCCTTGCGACCCACCGATCTCACTGAGGTGGATCGCGACTATGTGGCCGGCCTGCTCTGCATACGCAACATGGACGACGACACCAAGCTCTTCAACACATTGGAGCTGCCGTTTTCGACGTCGTCGGCGCGCGGGCACGAGGTGCCGCTGTCCACCCGTTACACGCACATCTCGCCCAGAAATCGTGCGGAATACGTGCGTCTGGCGCTCGGCTTTCGACTGCACGAGTTCGACGAGCAGGTGAAAGCGGTGCGGGACGGCATGTCCAAAGTGATACCCGTGCCCCTGCTCTCGCTCTTCTCGGCCGCCGAGCTACAGGCCATGGTCTGCGGCTCACCGGACATACCGCTGGGGCTGCTCAAGTCGGTTGCCACCTACAAGGGATTTGATCCCAGCTCTGCGCTGGTCGGCTGGTTCTGGGAGGTCATGGAGGAGTTTACCAACCAGGTAAGTCAAATGAACAGAAATGTCAATCTGACGTAGTTACTAAAATGCTCTCGGAAATTCTATTTTAGGAGCGTTCCCTGTTTCTGCGCTTTGTCTGGGGCAGAACACGACTGCCGCGCACCATAGCCGATTTCCGAGGACGAGACTTTGTACTGCAGGTGCTCGAAAAGAATCCGCCCGATCATTTTCTGCCCGAAAGCTATACGTGCTTCTTCCTGCTCAAAATGCCACGCTACTCCTGCAAGGTAAGCCGAAAGTTAACGAAATCTACGCCTGAAATATAGACTAAGACTCCTCCCCTCTCATTGCTGTAGGCTGTGCTGCTGGAGAAGCTGAAATACGCGATTCATTTCTGCAAGAGCATCGATACCGATGAATATGCGCGCGTGGCCATGGGCGAACCCACCGAGGCAACTGGGAGCGAGGACAACAGCGATCTGGAGTCCGTTGCCAGTCACGATGGCTAAACGCACTATCGATAACAACTATTTATCGATTATGGAAATTAAAAGGAAAATAACCAACCCGCTGCTGCTGCTACTGCTGCTTAACATACTATAAACGAAACGCACTCAAACGCATTAGAATAGCTGTTTAGCTGATTAATCGATTAGTTGATTAACTGCTTAGCAATTTGCACATACTGCAGCAGATAGTCAAAGATACCCACTCACGTACACACACACATTCACTGACTCACACAAACGAATACAGCTTGGGAGAAAGAGAGCAAAACAAATGAAAGCGCAATTTTGAAAGAGTATAAGACTGGAAAACTTCCAGTGGAAACTGTAGATGAGCCGATGCGACACACGAAACCAAAAAGCAAAATAAATAAACGTTAAATGTTATTTCCATACTGCATAAATGTTAGTTAAAAAAGTCCAAACACTCACACATACTCATATATATGATGTATGAGCACACCATGAATCTATTTAGTCTATACATACATATACATACATAAACATAATTATGCTTACATAGCTTACAGTTGGCAGGAACTGCCGCCTGCCTGCATGCAGTTGATAAGATATTGATATGAATTACGAATATTGATTATTGATAATGATAAATGCTATAATGATAATGATAAACGATAATATGCTAATGATGATCAATTCTAGTTGTGTGTTTTCAGCAAAAATCCAAAAGAAAAAAATAAAAGAAAATTAAAAATATGCAAACATCTGAAATTTAAAATTAAATTGCAAATATACAAAAAATAAAGCGTTTAATGTGTTGGGGAGTAGACAGCATACATATATTCTCTCAGAAATCGATGTCATTTATCTGAATACGATTGAGGAGAAATTTAAGCATAAAAGGATTTTTGAATCTGTCAAACGTTGAAGTCGCACGCAAATTCAAAAGGATCTTAACAATCGATAGATTATTTATATCGAGAAATAGTATTCGTTGCTCAATTTCCCTATTCTAACAGATTACAGAGGGAAATTTTTGTTTAAACAGTATTTTGAATCTGTGACAACGTTGGGGATGGTCAATTTGCATGTAAAATGAAGCGGATCTTAATAATCGATGACCTATTTATATTAGAGGAAGAGTATTTGTTTACTGATTGGGGGAAATTTGAGCTTTAAATGAATACTCCTCATTCATATACAAATCATAACTAAATCGAGTTGTTGTCATCAAGCTGAGAATAGTCACTTGACCATTCCAGCACCCATAAAAGAATTTTCACTTTTTATTCTGCGTCAATAAATATAGTAGAAATAGATAGTTTTGCTATATGGTCAAGACTAAAGCAATTTTTGCTGCGGTTTAATTTAATAAACAGTTCGTTTGTATTGAGAATTTGGATAGATATATAAGCCGTTAACCACGGATTTAGCCCCTGACAAATCTTAATCCTCAAAGTCCTCGAAGAACATCTCTGACGCAAAGTCGTTCTCGAAATAGCGGAACCTGTGATGCGGTTGAGATTGTGGCTTCGACTGCGTGATGGAGGTGGACAGCACCTTCGGCGGCGGCTGCAGTTGGGACACAGTTTGGGATTCCGTTTGCGATTGCGTCACGGCCGCAAGCTCTTCCAGCTGGACGGCCGCATCGGGATCGCTGCTGGTGTTGCTGGGCACACAGGCGCGCGGTGCCGTGCGTCGCTGGCGGCTGAGCAGCTGGGTATCGGGATCATAGTCGCTGCCCTCGTCATCCAGCTGGTCGCCGGGTTCGTTTATACTGACCGGAGGACTCGATGCAGCTGGCGGAGCCACAGCGGCAGCAGCAGGCGTGGGGAGTGCTTTCGTGGCGCGGTTGCCATTTTCGTCGGTGTCGACGCTGCGGGTGCCGCCAGACGCCGTATCGCCAATAACGGCGCCAATCACATTGCGGAGCACCCGGGAGGCAGCCTCGTGCATCTGTGTGATGAGCTCACGTGTCGGATGCGCCTCGTCCACATTTTCCGGGCTGGCAGCGAAGCTCGCTGTTGCCGGCTGACTGTGGGCCTTCGGATTGCTCTGTGGATGGTGCTGCGTATGCTGTGGCTTGGTCGCGTCACAAGGGCACTTGCGACGCTTTGGCGGCTCACACTTCCCCGACGCTGATGGTGGCGGTGGYGGTGGTGGTTCTTTCGAGCAACGATCCTCGCGTGGTTTTCGCTCTCGGCAAACGCTACAGTCGCGACCGCTTGCATCTTTCATCTGCTTCTTCTTCTTCTCATCGCAGCTGCAGTTTGGCGGCTCCTTGCCCTCCGCCGGCTGGCCCTTGCCACGGCGCACGCGGTAGAACAAATAGACGAGCGCCAGGGTTGCATATGTGGCCTTCGCAACCTACCACAGCAGCAGCAGGAGCAGCAGCACAGGCAGCAGCCGGAGGCAGCAGGAGCACAGAAAGTTAGCTAACAAGAGCTGGACAATCGGACAGTTACAGTTGGTCTACTCACATTCGCACGGCCGCTCATTGTAGAGCCATTGAAATACTTCTTAAAGCCATCGGCCATCGCGAATAACAGCAATTAGCTTCCGGGTTTTAGTCTTATCTATGTTTTCCTAAATACGGGTTGGGATGTCTGGGTCCGGGGCCGGGTCTGAACTGAACTGCCCCAAAAACGAGCTGAGCCAAGCATCCAGTAGTTGCCTACTACGATTGCTTCTATTCCAACGCCAAGTCAAAGCAAAGTATTCAAGTGTATACGACTGGCAGATACTCTGTAAAGCAATATGATCTTTATAGATGGTGTGCTTTCCATTCCCTGCTTCCCTTCGAGTACTCAGCACAGGGCTCATAGGACTAGACAGCCGTAATAAACAGGACTATAGTCCAATGGGATCTATCGTACTCTATTCTTCACGGCATGAGCATGACCCTAGTCCATTTACTCAAATATCTTGGAATCTCAATCAACCGTTACAGCACCCCCTCCTGTAAAAGGCTATCCTAAACAGCCACAAACATTTTTTCACGAATCCATTTGGAATTCTCAACTAGTTCTAGCTGTCAAGTAATGTTAGTCAAGTGGATTGCATTGCTCGAACTGCGATCTAATTTTTATTAACATTTGAAGACATAACACAAGGAATTTGGTTAACGCTTAACGTCCAAGCAATTGGCAGCCCGTAACACAAATGGAAATTGGTGGACATCGAATGGAACTGTGGCTGCTTGGCTGTTAGAGCAGCAGCTTCTGCTGGCAGCCTTTGCAATATTGAAAGGCCTCGCGACGCTTAGCATTGCGACGACGCATCTTGACCAGCACATAGATGAGACCCACCGATGCCCAAGTGGCCTTAGCAACCTGCGAATACTTAGATAGTCAGCTGACAACACGATAAAGAGCCAAAAGCAGCAATGGACTTACGTTGGCGCGTCCACGCACGGTCTGGCTATCAAAGATCTTGTTGAACTTGAAGAAGTCCGACATGGTGCGAGAGGGATTGAGTTTGTATCTAGAAGGAGGACTATACCTTGACCCGAGATGTATGTGTGTACAAATCTATCTATGTATATATTTTTTGTTTTTATATGTTTGTGTGTTGAATCGAAATTCAAGCAATTTACGTTTCAGTTTTTTGTTGAATTTTAATGCTTAAACATGATTCTGTATGGCAGGGAGCATTTCAAGCAAGGCCTACTTTGATTTGAAATTTGGAATTCCTTTTCAGGTTTTTCTCAAATATCCTATAACTTAATAATATTCAATCTCTATTAATTGCAGCTCGTTAGATATTGTGCGATTATAATGAGTATATCCAACATACATTGAGCGATTATTATAGACCTCTGAGGGTGCATTAAGCATATGACTCTATAATCCACATAGAGCTCAAATAGATGGTATTTTTGTTCAATCATTCATTTTAAAGTTTCTAATAATAGTGCAATTTCTACTAATGTAGCCATTGTGCAATTAGATTGCATTCCCATCAATTGAAGCGAGATGAGAGCGAGAGAGGCGATTATAGGAGAGTTGGAGATGCGCTAGTTAGATAGAGAGACAAAGATGAGAAGTTGGGCGCAGGAGAAAGTATGTAACGCAGGATGTGCAGGTAGAGCTGAAGAAGTCTACAAGGAGTTAAATGACAGATCTGTAAAATATATAATAATATAAGAGCTAAGAGAGAACTAAACAATGGAGCTAGAAGCGACAAAGTCCTAAAGCTGTTTCTTAAGATAAGAATGAAGCGAGCTACAAAGAAACACAGAAGACTGAAATTGAAGGGAGACCAATATCCATGTCTTTCCATAAAAAAAGAGAAGCCTAACATAATAAAATGTGTGCAAATGAAAAGATACAAAAGGATTAAAATTATGGGAAAGAATCTTAGCTCATGCCAAAGCGATTCATGATTCAAACCTCACTTTTTAGTGAGGGAAGAAGATTACGACGAAAAATATGAGCTCACAAATACAAGTAAAACCTTAAGGAAGAAGTGTAAAGTTTGCTAAGTCCAGGAAGGCGAAAAGTGAGTGAGAAATGTATCTTCAAAAGTAATCAGAGAAGTGAAACAATATATAAAAGTAAACGAAAAGAAGCCTTATAAAGAGTGAGAAACGTTGCTTGAGCTAGTCCCTATTAGCTCCCAATTGAAGGGAGAAGCGAAGGAAACAGTGTAAAATACAGAATACCGAATATAATAAACGGAAGAAGAGGGATACAGATATCCAATTAAAGGCAAGCGAGAAGCGAAGATTAAAGAAAGAAAGCTTTGATTTGTGATTTTGAGGAATAAGGAATGAAGGATGCTTGACCCTAACCTGCGCCTAGACCCCACATTCGAACTAACATTTTGTGGCTAGTGTCAGTCCGAAATAGATGCCGTAACCCCCTGAGTGCCCCTTCGCATGGAGCTGCAATTGCAGTTCGCTTGTAGCTCGCAGCTATCTAAGGCCTAAAGATCTGGTTGACTCTTGCGTGCTGAGCTCAATTAAAATATTTGTTTTTCAAACAAACAGACGGACAAAGAGAGAGAAAGCAAGTGAAAGAGAGAGCGAGATAAAAAGAGAGCGAGAAAGGCGTAACTGAATGCAGTTAATTATGGTTGAGCCGTCGCAATGACGATGATAAGCGTTTCACAATGGGGCGTTGGCTCGAACCACTCACTGCAGCTGAGCTGGCCCACACACAGTTGGTCCTACCCCAATGTGGCGTGCCCCAAGAACACCTGAAATGCAATTGAGTAATCCTTAGTCGGACAGACAATTGCCCATCGACAGTCAATTGTCAACTGTCAATTGTCAATTGGCAATTGGCATTGGCTCAAATGGCAAATGTATGGTATTAGGGCTCGTAGGGTACCGCCCGAGGGGCTGGACCGTGGCGACGACCCCTCATTTGAATATTGATGCAAATGCCAATATAAAAGTGGGCTCATATCTGGGACGGATCAGTTCAGATCAGATAAGAGAGTTGAAGGAGCGCGATGCAATATCTACAGCTAATCATCGGCAGTCTATTGGTCAGCCTGCCGTTCTGTCGTCCAGGGGTAGGATAGAGATAGGAGATAGATATACGAGAAGGATTTCCCAGTTACACAATTCCGAATATCGCAATTTTACAGGCCACCGAGGATCAGATGTGGGCAGCCGGCAAGCTAATGCGTGACGTCTGCCTGCCCAAGTTCCCAAAGATCACCACGGAAATAGCCGACGGCATACAGAAGGGCATTCTGCCCGACGACAAGGATGCCAAATGCTACATCAACTGTGTCATGGAAATGATGCAAACGGTGAGTAGATGCGGAGGGAGGTGGAGGAGCTAAGCGAGACTAGCGACAGATTCCATTCCACTCCATTCGCACAGATGAAGAAGGGCAAGTTCATGGTGGAGTCGACGCTCAAGCAGGTGGAGCTCCTGATGCCGGAGAGCTACAAGGCCTCCTATCGCAAGGGCATCAGCGAGTGCAAGGATGCAGCCGTTGGCATCAAGAACAACTGCGATGCAGCACACGCGCAGCTCACCTGCTTCCGCAGCAAGATTGAGATCTTTGTGTTTCCCTAATCGAACATGCTGATGGCGAGCATTGAGTATATTGTCATATATACATATACATACATACATAGCTACATACACTACGCTCCAGTGGCTCACGAATAAATGTTCGATTTACACCGTCAATTGTGGCGCATTTTGATTGGTTTCCCTGGGTGCAGATCCGATCTCTGCTTTTGTAGCTACAAGCGAATGGTATGCCAATCGGAGAGCTGCGATCACGTTGCGGGGCTATAAAAGCGCATCCGAATGGGATTAGTTATGTTTGTGGAGAGAGAGAAGATGACGATGATGATGCTGCAACGGACCTGTCTGACCATGCTGCTGCTGACGCTGCTTACCCTGGCCCAAGCCGACGACCAGAAGGAGGAGGACACAGCCATGTCACTCAGCGAGGTGGTCGAAATGGTTGAGCCCTTTGGCAATGGCTGTGAGCCCAAGCCGGAGCGCAGTAAGTGTCCATCAGAATGAGTCCTTGGCTTGAATCGAAACCAAACCAACGCAAACCAATCCATCTCCGGCCAGGCCACATTGAGGAGATGGTGCTGAACAAGGAGGATGCCTCGCACGAGAGCAAATGCTTCCGTCGCTGCATGCTGAAACAGTTCGAAATAATGGGCGAGGGCCAGATGCAGTTCGATGAGGCGAAGACCGTCGACATGATGAACATGATGTTCCCCGAGAAGGAGGCCAATTCCAAAGCGATTGCAGCCAAGTGCAATCAGGCACCCAACGGCATCACCGACGAGTGAGTCGGGACATTGCTCCCCCCCTCCCCTCTCTCTCTCTCTCCCCCCTCTTAGCTGGAAATAATCCCTTCCTGCTTCCTTCCTGTCCAGGTGCGAAGTGTGCCACGCCATATCGATGTGCATGCTGCGGGAAATGCGCGCCGCCTCCTACAAGATTCCCGAAGTCAAGGAGTAGAATGCCTCCACGTTCCATTTAACAATTTGGCCGATTTTTTTTTTTTTTTTGTGATTTGTATTTGTATATTTTTTTTTATTCCCTACATTCGTTTATAGAGCTGGAGATCCTGGTTCCTGGACATGCACAGACAAATAAAGCGAGCAGCCATTAGCAGCAGCAGACAATCTTTTTGGGATTTGGGTGGGGAGCCATTAGGGTTGAGCCCAATAACTGAATGGACCAGGATACATCCCGTAGCCCACCAGAGCTCAGTGGAGCTCACCAGTGCAGCTTGACCCGATTGCGCTCCATTTGCCGGCCAATGCACTGGTTCAGCTGATGCGCCGCCTCGCAAGGCTTCTGTGTGCTGACAGATCGATTGCAGCTTTGGGCGAGGCTGCTGCTCAGTGCCATGGCAACCTTGTTGTCCTCGGTGACCAGGCTGGTCAGCTGCTCGACACGGCGCAGACTCAGCTTGTTGGTGCTGTCATCCATCTGGAAAAGAGAGACGCGAGTTAGACTGTTTCCATATGGTCAGCCGTTCGCTTACAATTTGGATGCCCTTCAGGACGCACTCGAGCAGGCATTTCTCCTGCTCGGTGGGATTCGGTTCTCGGATTAACGAACGCTGCACAGCCGGCATTCGCAGCTTCTGCAGGCAACTCTTCTTCGTGCGGTCAATCATCTGCTGCACCTCGGGCAGGTTGCGATCGAGCAGCGTCACCAGAGGCACGCTGCTGCGGCCACCAAACAAACGCGTCAAGTCGAACTGTGGCAGCTGCTGTCCCTTGATCTGTGGCTCCGCCATGCTGCACTGCATCCAAATGCCGCTGGCCAGCGCAAGCAGTGAGAGCAATGTACTATGCATGATCTTGCGATTCAATTTGTTGCTGGCCAATTTCTCAGCATTCGCTTTTATACTGTATTTACTCTTGGCAGACAACGTGACCTTGACTTCATTTTCGACCTCGACTTGTGCGTGGCCATTTCGCTGACGCCGTCATAGCTACGACATGGTGAAGTTCAAGATCCATCATTTTCATTGTCATTGCTAATGCCACAAATCGCAGATCACACAATTCACAAATAAACAATTTTTAAAGCACGCAAATCAACAATAAGTTCATATGCACGCACACACATGCAGTATTGCAAATGTATTTGAAATTATTCCGACTGCAGTGTTAATGTCAGAATAACTATTCAGACGAATTCTATATTACGTACATGCATTCATATGCATATGTATATGTACAATTATGTACATATGTATGTGTATACTTATTCCTTCCAGTTTCACTTCCACGAATGAGTGCATTGCGCAGACAAATAACGTTGTATGCGTAAAGCAGCAGTTGGCAGTCACCAGAGTTGCAAAATTATAACGGTAGCTGCTTATTCTTCTTCGACTATTTTATGCTCACACATTCATACATAAGGGCCTAACACACCACACACTATTGCAATGGTGAAATTATGCCGGCTAGGCGAACTAACTGTTTGCAGTTTTTTGTATGCACGGGGTGGAAAAGGAAAGACTGAGTCATGAGATGCAATGGTATGACAGAGCGAATAAAAGAGAAATATCATAAATGCGTGTATGGTTTACCCAACATAAATAGATACATGTATATGCATATATGTATGTATGTATATACATATGTACGTGCAACCATATGTATGTGAGTATTATGCGAAACTTCTGTTTTGCAGATACATACGTACAATACACATAGTAAATATATGTATGTAGTACTACATAAATAGATATACATATATATGTATGTATATATGTATAATAATAAATGTACATACATAAGTATGTACGTAATTCAGTTCAATTAAATAAGCTGACAATTTATTTTAAAATTCAAGAAGCTACTAGATGACAGCGCTTTAATAACGCTTTAATTTTCTATGAATAATTTTGCTGTAATTTGCTAATTGTTATTTCTAAATATGTAAGTTATAATTAAGATTGAATTGATTTAATAAGCAGCCTATGCCAATTTTCAGAGAAAAAAACTTTGGGGGTACGAATAATAAATTTAGTGCTTACTCTATGTGAAAATACATACATATGCATGTATGTATGTACATACATACATACATATGCCGGCTGCGTGCATTTCCAATTATTTCCCATTCAACAGTTTAGCTTTGACTTCTCCATTGCACTCTCTTTCACTCATGTATATGGATGTACATACATACATATGTATGTATGCATATCTACCAACGTTACGTTTTGGGTGCACTGGAAAGTGATGTGAACATTTGGCAATATACATATGTATGTAAATATACATACATATTTACCTAATTATTATTTCATTCAATATTTGCAGAGTATTCGGCAGTCGAGTGACGCAGAAGAAGTTTTGATTGGACGTTGTGAAAAGTCGAATTGATGATCCAGCTCATGTCAACTTTCGCGGTCGCTATTGCTATCTCTGTCCATCATATTATAGGTGTTGAGCGCCTTCCACTGGGGAATATTTATTTGATTTGTTTTGCAAGTCGAATTTGCAGTGCGATTCGATTTCATGTCAGTTACCAATTAAACACTTAATTATATATTAATTCAAGGAGAGGGAGTGAGAGAGCAATAGATAACGATGGAGTGGAATGAGACGTTGCTTCAGCGGATTTTCCCACGTCGCCCAACGGAGGGCATCTCCGGCGTTTGCTCGTCCAGATTCGAGTGTCATGTGCTGCTCATGTAGTGCAACTGCATCCCACAGCAAATTGGCAATAATTGCTGTTTAATTGCTATTAGCTGACACCTGGCCGAGAGCTGGAGACGTCGCTTGTCTGACAATCAGCCAAGTCAAATCACAGATTCACAGAATCGTCTATAAAATGCTGCAGTCACTTGCTGTTCGTATCCAAGTTGTAATCGTGTAGAGCATTAAACATGTCGCGTTTCGTTTGCTTTTCAGTGCTTGTGCTCCTGGCAGCTGTGGCCGTATCCTCCAAGCCGCAGGAGGATTACGACAAGGAGCACATTGCCGAGGTGGCCGAGGAGTGCAAAACGGAGTCGGGCGCCACAGATGGTCTGTTCATAGTTGAACCCACTGGTCAAACATTGACTAAACCCTTCTATTGCAGAGGATGTGGAGCACATGATGCAGCATGAGCCAGCCGATTCACATGAAAGCAAATGCCTGCGCGCCTGTATGCTGAAGAAGTTCGAGATTGTAAGTAGAATCGAAAGCCAGCTGCCGAGGCTATTCACATCATGATTCAAACTCCTTGCAGATGAACGACGAGGGCAAGTTGAGCAAGGAGAACGCTTTGGAGATGGTCAAGCTGAGCAGCAAGGATGATGCTGAAAAGGAAGCTGCTGCCACTGAGATTGTCGACAAGTGTGAGGGCATCGAAGTGCCCGAGGATCAGTGAGTTGCCCAAATATATCTGACGAAGCTCCAAGCTAATCTTTGTCATCCACTTTGTCCCTATCCCCGTTTCAGCTGCGACGCTGCTGCCGCCTACGAAAAGTGCATCATTGATCACATGCACGAGCATGGATTGGCCCTGGAGTAACCCCAAAACTAGCTGGAAATATGGAATGGAATGATGCAAGCGCCTACTATGCTATATGATACACGACTCTGTTTTTTTTTTTTTTAAATAATATATACATCTATATATACTACTCTATATATACCTCTAGTTCCTAAGTGCATGTAAATAAATTGCGCCAACTGCAGTTCAATTTATAATTGTTTTTGTGAAGTAAATGATCCGATAGCGTTTATACTTACAAATCCTGAGAATAATGAGCTCTATAGTAAACCTTAGCTTGTATACTGCTTGTATAGAATGTCAAGAAAACATGCTACTTTATGTAAGATTCTCAGAAATACAGACTGGTACAGTTAGTGTTATTGTTAAAAATTTTCCTTATATGTTTATATATAATACCAAAGACTTTAGACTTTCTAGAGAAATATACCTATACAAGGTAACCACTTACAATTTATGGATTCTATGATAAATTCTAATAGAGTTGTAGAGTCTTCGAGTTAAGAACTGGAATGCGACTCAATACAATGTATTTTGCATTTGAAGGTATGATATGATACTATGAGACTAAAGACTCTGAGAAGCTGTCCATTTTTCAAGCGTATTTTAATACCATCTCGTTATCTCCTAGTCGGGCACTCGATTTCGAATCCTTTTAGGCCCCAATAAAGGAAACGCATTTGATTTGTTTATAAATACAAACTATCTTACATATTCTATTTATTATATTATTTTGCTTAATTTTATATATGTCGTTTGTGTTATGAAAAAAACGTGAGTAAACGTAGAAATTAGTTTACACGCTTTTAGGATTTCCAGCTTATATTCTAATAATTTTTAATACAATGCACTTTCTTGCAGTTGTTGTTGCGATTTCGATTGGATGCCTGGATGTCTTGCCTGACTCACGAGCCACACTAATGCATCGCTTATATGTATATATGTATATGTATGTCTATGTGCTTATTAAACTAAATGTTCGTAAGGATAGTTGGATTCGGGATAGGAAGGGAAAGGGTAGGGAAGGGGGTGTCATATGGGGACAGTGCTCAAGTTTCCAATAATATATGAGCTAATTCATGACAACAAATAGACAATAGTACAAAGCACGCGAGAAAGGAAATGATATATATGTATATATAGATATAGATATATACATATGTATATATATATAGGTTTAGAAAATTCCATATCCTGGATATACATATACACATGTATATATATATATATAAATATATATGGACATAGGAAAGGTATGTTCATAGTCCAGTAGATGGATTCGAAATTTTAATGTTAAAAATTTAATATTAAATGTTTCACTTTCCTATTTCAAAAATGTTTTACTACAATCGATTAATTTCTTTTTGTTTTTCCTTTGACTTTTCCTTCTCAGGTTTGTTTTGTTTTTCTATAGAATTAGGCAGTTTTTAATGCTTTCTTTGTCAGTTTGCAACTCGTTTGAGTGAGTGAGCTTGCCTTAGTTTCCATATATTTAGTAGTTTAAAGGAAGTAGTCCGCTTGAGGTTTTTTGGATGGTATGCCGCGGCTCTCCTGCGGTGCCGCCTCAAAGATGACAAAGTCGCGATGCAGGTACTCGTTTAATTCCAATATGGCTGCCACATTCCCACAGCTAATGAGCAATGGGTGGGAGAGTATATTAAAAAAAACTGCACGTCAAAGAGCGACAGATAATGGCTTACCGATAGCAATAGTTGGGTGCCGACCAAACCGTGAGTACTGTTTCATTGAAATGCCATTTGAAGCCTTCCATGACCAGCTGATGTGCGCGACAGATCATGTCGATTTCATTGGTGCGGTTGAATTGTGAGACGACATCAGAGCCAAAGAGATAGCCGGCGCCGCGCGGCGATACACCCCATCCGGTCTGATCCTCGGGATCGCTCCACAGCAGATCGCACATAGGACCATCGTGCGGCACCTCCTGCTTGCGATCGATGCTTCGTATCTGGTCTAAATACTGAATAGAGGGTGAGAGGCCGCCATGTACGCAAAAGATTTTTCCATCGATGATGGCGGAGAGGCTGAGGTAGTCAAATATCTCTGTGCAATATCGCCAAACAGCAGTCGATCCATATTTACGCAGGCACTCATCGTAGAAACCATACACCTGGGTTATCTGTCGAGATTCGTGATTGCCCCGTATTAGCGTGATTCGATCCGGATACCGAACCTTCAATGCCAACAGCAGCAGGAATGTCTCAACACTGTAATAACCTCGATCCACAAAGTCGCCCATAAACAAATAGTTCTTCTCGGGCACATCGCCGCCCACTTTGAAGAGCTCCTTCAGGTCGTAGAACTGCCCGTGTATGTCACCACACACAGTTACCGGCGAATCGACGCGTTGTACGTTGCCCTCCTCAACAAGGATTTCGCGCGCCTTAGCGCACAATCCTTTCACCTCGTTCTCTTTAATGATCTCACAGCGTTTAAGCTGCTCGATCTGGCGATCTAAGTCGCTGTAGTCCGACATAACAACCGGGGCAGGGAAGTGGATGACGACGAAAGCAGCAGTAACAGCGGCGACACCAACAGCAACAAGAACAACAGCAGAGAACAAGAGCAACTGAAGTCAACGGCAATCGTCGCGGTTGCCAGGCTGCTAGAATAGAATCAATACAAGTATTTASCAATTAAATAAATAAAATATGTGCATTGACAATTTCATATGAAATTCCGCTTAAAAAATAATGGTTTCGACCATTGTTTGTGTTTTTGCATCATCTGCATTCGTCTCGCTGTAAGTGTGTGTGTGAGCGTGTGTTTGCTTGTGTTTGTTTGCGGTTTTAATAGGCTGAGTTTTTTGCCGCGCGCGCGTCACTTGCTAGTATTCTAGATTTGCCGCTGTCACCGATGCTATACACTAGACAAACTCATATGCACGAATTTCGCGACTTACCTCATATAAATCCGGTAGTTTCCTAAACCTTTTTTATTTTTACAAACCACTTGCACGCACGGACACGACTAAGAAATGAACCACGATATTACGCTGAACGTTTTCACGATAGTTATTGGTGGTAGTTCGATTAATAATCGATTACTCATAGCCCGTTTAGTCAGTTAGAGATGTCAAATTCATAGAGCTGCCAGACTGCTAAAAACGACAATATACTCAAAGGATAGAAATTTTAAATGTTTTAATTGAAATTATATTATTTGTTACGCAACAAAATAAACTCACATTATGACTGATCCGGAACCAACCGTGGAAACTAAATCAACAATGCAGCCGCTCGATGAGAAACTGGAAGAGCAAATGCACAAACAACTACACACAAAAGAAGTGGATATTTATCGTGATACCTTCTTACGTTATATGGGTAAGAGTTGCCCGCCAGATATACAGTTGCATATATATATCATTCCATTCTTGCAGGCTACAGCAACGAGGTGGGCGAGGCATTTCGTCCGCTGTTACCCAAATCAATAGTTGCTGCCTCCTATGGCATGGCCATTGGCTATGTCTGCACTGATACCTTTGACAAGGCGTTGCGCCATCAAATGGCCGGCGGTACCGATCGCCAGGTGGCGCTAGTGGGCGCCGATGTGTTTACTTGGCAAATGTTTGCATCAGTTATAATACCTGGATTGACCATCAATCGGTAATAACCGTACTCCCCTATCTGTCCACTATATATGCGACACTAATAAGACCTTATCTAATCTCCACACACCGTATAGCATCACTGCAGTTAGCAAAACGCTGTTGAAGAAGTCACCCAGTTTCGTGGTGAAGACGTTGCCTACACTAATCGGATTGATCAGCATCCCATTGATAGTGCATCCCATCGATAGCTTGGTAGATCGACTAATGGACGCCACCTACAGAAAGATGGTGCGATAATAAACTAAATGGCCGGACTGCTCATCCACGATTGGTGCTACTTGTATTGTTCATTCAGGCATTCCGAAAATTCAAATTTATAGACTAGTGAAATTGAATAACATTTTGATAAATGACCTTTCGACTCTCGTATTTACAGTGGAATTTATTGCACCAATTACAGCTCTACGCGCATTACAAAAATAGTTTATGGGAGTGGGAGGAAGTAGGAGAATATCTTTTATACAATTGTTAAGTACTTGGAGCAAATAGGCAAAGTGGCGGGCAGGCAGAGTTAGTAGCATTAATCCTCATCGTCGGAGTCTATCAAGTATGGACTGTCGAGGGCGCCCAGGCCAGCAGCCACGCCTCCCTCATTGGCAGTGGATAGTTTCGTGCGCAGCATGTGACCCGCCTGATAGTTGTGGATAATGTGATCCGCATCGCCAATGATGACGCCGAAGATGCCCAGCTCGGAGACCATGTCTACAATCTGGGGCGGCACATCGCTGCCAGGTCGTATCATGTAGCCCTGCGACAGCGGCGGATGTATCAGGTCCATCAAAATCCAAGCAGAACGCTCCACTCGCGACATGCGCTGTGATTAGAGGAATATATTGTTTAGAGTATATCTAGCTGCACAGTTCGCATGCATAGCTCACCTTCAGAGCATCGGGAATGTCCAAGCCGTAAACATTGTTGCCGCCACCCTCGCGCTGTGGCTTCAGCACAAACTTCTCTGGCGTCCGCATGGCCATCTCATAGTTGGCATTGCCCACCTCATTGTCGTCCATCGAATAGAGGCCGGTAAAGATCTTGCCGACAGCCTTCATCTCCTCCGGATCGTTGATGAAACGCTCCAGCACCGCTGGCTGTGCCAGTGCCTGCTGCACCTTCTTAGTTCCAGCCAAATGATATTGAATCGATGGACATTTAATAGCCAACGAGGTCTCCATCAGGTATCTAGCATCCCATTCACCCTGCGTGGGATAGTGACCCGGCTCATAGCCGGCACGGAAATAGATGACGGCCACTTCAGTGTTTCCGCTGATAGAGAAAGAGATAGAGAGATAGAGTTATATTGAGGCATGTTCCCATGGAGAGTTTATACGCACAGCAGCAGCTCCTTGTTCTGGCCCAACTTGCCCTCCTTGTGCACCTCAGTGAGGGTGCGACGCAGCACTTTGATGTGCGGATAGGTCTCACGGATGTAGAACTCGTGGAAACGCTGATCACAAATGTTATACGAGATGTCCTCAATGATGAACAGAATGACTGACTTGGGCTTGGCATAGATATTCCAGGCTTTGACCATACCATCGCAGAGACCTGCCAAGGCTTCGTTCTTCGGCATCTAAAGTGAGCGAGAGAGAGAGAGAGAGAGGGAGAGAGAGTATGTGTGTGTATAAGAGATAGTTGAGAGTATAAGATGTATAAGATACTCACTTGCTTCAATTTCTCAGCATGTCCAAGTTCTCGCAGGACGAAGCTGTTGACAGTTTGAGGGAGGGTGGGTGCGGCATTCAAAGAGAAAACGCAAGATTAGCAAAACTTTTACGCTTAGCAACAAATTAAAAAAAAAAAATTAACAAAAAGAATTATCTAAATCTAATTCAAAACAAGGAGATTACAATAACAAACAAACGAAAAAATATTATTTGTTAGTAGTTAGATTAGTTAGAAGGGGTAAGTGGGTGGGGGTGGGGATTATTTACAATAGGAGTAGTAAGTTTAGCAAGCAAAAACAAAATATATACAGAGCGGGTATTACGGTTCGGGTGTGGAAGGTTTAGTTGAGGAATCGGAAACGGAATTGGAATTGGAATAGCAATTCAAAGCTCAAGTTAAAGCCATAACCAAAAGCCAAACATTGGTTGTGCGTGTGTGTGTGTGCGAGTGAGTAAAAGAGACAACAGCAGTGCGTTTGTGTGGGAGATCGTGTTAAGAGTGGGAGGGAGATTAAAGGGAGTAAGTTCAGCGAATGAGCGAGAGCGACAGAGAGAGAGAGGGAGAGAGAGTGTGTGCGAGAGAGAGAAAAGAGCAAGAGGGGAGAGGGAGAGTGCAAGTGCATGCCATTTATAATAGTTTTGATGAGTGGGCGCGACCTTTAAGTGGTTTGTAATTACAGATGAGTGGGCGGTTGGAGTTGGTACTGAAGTGCGTGCAACTTAGTATATATTATTATTATGTGTGTGTGTGTGTGTGTGGGTGTGTAAATACACTCAAACCCGTCTCAAATTTTGCAGTTGGTAATTTGAAACAAGCTCTCAATTTGGACTATACTATAAAAAGGTGTAAATTTAATACTTAAAAGAATGTGAATTGTGAATGTGAGAAAGAAAATTGAGAAAGAGTGTGTATGCGTAAATGTGTTGGTGTGTGTGTGTGTGAGAGAGAGAGAGAGAGAGAGAGAGAGAGAAGAGCGCATAATACTTTTGCAGAGGCACCAAGTGTGTAGCAATGCCACCGAAACTGGAGGCAATCGTGTTGATTTCAACCTGCTTTATTGCACAGCCCTCGTACACGTGAGCCAAATAGTCAGAACGTAATAGACCGACGCTATAAGCCTGCAATTATGATCGTTATATATTATATATATATATTTAGAAAGAGATGTGTGTAAATTACAGTAACTGCTTAATCAAGTACATAGCAGTAGCCCTTAGCCTAAGCTAAACTAAGCTAAATAGTTTAGTCTAAAAGAAAAAAATAAACAGAAAATATATTAAAAAAATACTGAGATTTTGAGAGTGGGCAACGCTCAACTCAGGCGTCGAGTGTGTGTGTGTGTGCGAGACAGAGAAAGAGAGAGAGAGAGAGAGAGGGCGAAAATGAAAGCGAAAGCATGGATATCGATGCAATTTATCGGGTTTCGATTGTTAACTTTTTAAATGTCTGGCAGAGCGCGAAATGCCAGCTTCAAGCAAATGAATTGTGTTAACTACCAATGCAATTGTCATGTGTGTGTAAGGACCACATCATGATCGCAAACCAAACACACACAGACACTTGTATATGTATGTATGTAAACATACATAAATACACAGAAAATTTAAACAATTTTATTTTTAGAGAATTCTTACTTCGTAAATGTTGCATGTTGTCGCTTTTGTTAAATATTTTTGGATATTGTATTTCACTTACAGCGAAATTAACTGGATATTAATAGAAACCTGAGCGCGACTCATTGCATGATATACATACGACCACACATATGCATATGTGTGGGTGACAGTGTATGATTGTAGTCGTGTATCACTCATTTTGGGTTCTATGGATTTTGTGTTTGTAATTAAGTAGCTGACACATTGCGATAAGACGCAGCTGATTGAATGACACAGCAAATTTAACTAGTTGTATTAAAAGTATCGCATATTTGTAACTGTAAAAAAAAACAATAAAAACCATTCGAGCGACAACGCGAAGGGGGAAAGGGACAGACAAAAGTGGAAAGAAAAAAAATTATAAATGATAGAAAAAGCAGCACAGCCATTAAGCTGCACATACGTACGTATATATGCGTAGAAGAGCTTGATACGTATGCACATATATGTATGCGTGTGTGTGTGTGTAGAAGAGCTGTTAGGTTAAGTATAAGAGAAAAGCATTGCAAGCTCAACAGGCAAAGCAAGGCAAGGCCAGGCGAGACGGGGATGGACAGGGCTGAGGCGGAGTGGACGAGTTGGGGGACAGCGGTGAGCACTGGACGCCGGTCGATGTCAAGGGGGGACGGGGCGGGCCAGGGCAGGGCTGAGCATATTTAATATCTTTTTCAAAAAGCAAACTAACAACTACAGATAACATTTAAAGGACTCAAAAACATACATGTAAATATATAGATATACATGTACAAATATATACATACACACATATATATTTGTATATGGCTAAGGCATATATATAAATTTATCGATTAAATCATATATTAAATAATAAAATAATAATTAGCTGTTTATGAATCAAAGGGACATAATATTGAAAATAGCCAGGATAAAACGTGACACACACACGCACACACATACAATTCAAAACAAAGACACACACACACACACATACATGCTGTTTGCATTACATGCATGTATATAAATAAAGTAACTGTTAGCATGCAGAGTTATTGTTTTTTTTTTTTTTTATTATAACCTTCCTTGATAATATTCGATTCTGATTCAGCTGTCGGTTTTAGTTAGTATTCGATTCAAACAAATTTATTACATATGGAAAAGTCTAACATTTAAATTGCTGTTGCTGGTTAAATAATCAGTAATTTAGCTATTTGTAGACCTTCTAGTTTCTACTATCTCGCGATTAAAAGCCTAACGACAATAAATATAAAAATGTAACTTTCGAGAACGTGCCATGGGCTCTACATACGTATATACTGTAGAGCATATGTATTTAATTAAAATATCGGATAACAAATTTTACGACTTTTATGACATTTGCCATACTGACATCTTATATTCTTCTACAGGGTATTTTACAGTAACGTACTGCATAGAAGTTTGACTCTTATAATAAGCTTTTTTCCTACAGGGCATTCAGTAGCGATTTGTAACGGTTCGTACAGAAGTTTAGCTCCTATAATTAGTCAATGCAAACTGTTTTAGGTTACTTTGTCGTGTGTGTGTGTGCGTGTAAGAATGTATGTCTGTGTGTGTATAATTGTGTGTGTGTGGATGGCTTTGGTTAGGCTTCGGCATATACAAGGCAATGCAAGTGTATATATGATAGAAAGAGAGAGAGAGATTTATATAGGTAGAGAGCAAAGATCATGAGAGAGACAGAGAGAGAGAGAGACAGACAGCACCTTTGTATGGTTTTACTTGCTGGTCCCAAATGGCCAAAACCCGATGCTATCGTATTGATCTCAACTTGTTTCCAGCAGCAATATGAGGAGCTAGCGCTGCGCTGAATGCCCGGCTGGGCGGTCGGATTTGCCTTTCCCGCCTTCGTGCTCGCCTTCGCGTCCGCCATTCGCTCCTTCTGCTTCTGCCCCTCCTTTGCATCATTGCCAGCGCCAGCGCTCGTCTCCAACAGGGGCGACAACTCCGGACAGCGGGACTCCAGCATCAGATCGCTGCGCAGCATGCCCAATGAAATGCGCTTTGGTGGCGAATGGAAATGCGCGCATGTGAGTGTATGTGCGTATGCGTGTGTGTGTTGTGTGTGTGTTGTGTGTGTGTGAGTAAAGTGTTTAGAATGTGTGTAGATCGGTATACGAAATACGATAACGATTACGATCAAAACGAGCAACACACACCATTCGTTTATGACATTTCGGTTGGATTTTCGGATTTGCGGAATCGGTTGTTCGGATCGATTCGAGTTTTGATTTATGCGCAATTTGTTAGATTTCATTGGGTTTTGATATTCATTGATTTTCATTTTCATTTTTTATTTTATTTTTTCGGAAAGGAAAGCAGAAAATTTCAAATCAATGCGTGAGTAAAATTTTGTTTTGTTTTTTTGTGGATAGATAAACGTAAAGCTGGGCATATTAACAGCGACAACAACAATAACAACAACAACGCAAACATTAGGAGCAGCACCACAAAAAAAAGTGAGAGAGAGAGAGAGACACATAAAGAGTGGGGAGAGAAAACGAAAAGAAAGTAAAAAGGGATCTAATCAATTTTAAAAGAAATTAAAATCATAATCTTTTCTTTTATGAGCAGTTATCAGTGTTGATAAACAGCAAAAGTAGCAGTAGCAGCGGCAGCAGCAGCAACAGCAGCAGCAGCAGCGATGCCATGTACTCAAGTGGTCCAGGATGTGCGCATAAATCATGTGGCAACGCTTGAGATTAGCTGTTGAGCCGATTTGGCTACATTGGCTATGGGATTTATGATTTGGTGATAAGATAATGGAATATGAGGTAAAGAGCAACAGAAACAGACATATACATATATAGAAAAATTTGCTGGGTGGGTGGTAGGTTGTTGGGGTGTTGAGGGTGTGGAGCGTTAGAGGAAGCGACAGATATCACTTTAGCTGTTCACCCAGAATACCTGCACTAGCAGCCTAGTCTCTAAAGCTCAATGGAATATGCTTGGATAAATGGGGTGCTGACCATGGGCATGGAGGTAGGTGTGTAGGGGTATACGTGGGTGAATGTCTTGGTGTGATGGGTGTGGGTGTGGGTGTGTGTGAGCGGTGTGTGGGTGGGCGTGACTGATGACGAACAAGATGTCTCACCTGGGTAAAGCCAAGGGCTAGAACCTTGCGATAGATATTAAATAGATTTGCCGTAAACTCATCCACTTTAATTGTCTCCGCCAGTGTCGTCGTGATAAATTCTTCATCGTGCGCAACATTGTGCATTAGTCGATTGATTATCGGCTGCAATGCGATTGCCTTCTCGAATTCCTTGCGCGGAAAGGACGACGGCACCAGCACAAAGGGCGCAAACTTAAAGGACATCAAGAGAGAGAGGATTCCGTTAGCTGTGTGTGGCAATACACTTTGTATAGGAGCACTCACGTTTAGGGAGTCTGGACTGAAGCTGGTTTTGGAACGCATTGCGGCGCCGTGCATGATCGCATAGTCCTTGGCCTTAGCTATCACCTCGATCAGCTCGTCCTTTTTCAGCGGCAATTTGATGCAGCTGCGCAACACGGGCGTATGTTCGTCCACAGACATTTTCTCGTTTGTTGATTGTTTGCGAAACACTCCTGGAGCTAATTAAATTGCGTTGCGTTTTGCTTGACGCGGCTTCTATTGTTGCTGAGTTCTTAATCGTCTGCGTCAGCTGTTGATGCAAATGTCACGCTGTGCGATCGTCGCTTTGGCTACCTGTTGCATGCGCGATTCTGTGTATACTGTACGTGGAATTTGTGATGGATTGTCAGAGGCGCGTCCTCAATGCACCAAATGTTATGGAAATTTAATTTCACAATATAATTCAGCACCACGGCACAGTCGATTTACGATAGGTTTTTTTTTCTCTTTATTTAGAATGGCGAGTCGGCTCTGTTAAACGCGTGGAGTGCTCCTCTGTTAACGTGCGGCGCCTTACTATTAACATGACCATCGAAAATCATTCGGCTAGTCAGTGCTGTTAACCGTTGCCGGCTTCGTTAACATCAATTGACCCGCGATATATCGCCACACCTCTATAATGTATTGCTACCAAAAGGAAGAACGATATTTTTACTGTTTTTTTTAATAAATTGAAATCTTGCCAAAGAGAAAAATACAAATATTTGTTTTATTTATTTGTCACTTTTGAAAGATATAGATATGTTGATATTTACATACATATATGTATGTATGTTTTTAAATAAAGGTAGTCATTTCAGATCTGAATAACTTATAGCTTAAATGGCTATCTATTCAACGGGATATTTTCTTAAAATGTTTGCAAAAAAAAAAAAAAAAAAAAAAACTGCTTGCTTGACCTACCGTTATTAAATTGCTAGCATAACAGCTGTTGCTGTTAAAGCCCAATTCTGATGTCTATCGATAATCGTCATTATATTATCGAATTTAAATAATAATAAATACGTTTCAAAGTTCTTCCAAATTCTAAAATGGCTCTGGAATAAACTTCATCTAGTCTGGGCTAGACTTGATTTATTCCATTCGTTTCACTTGTAATTGATTTCGCCTTGTAACGAGTCGATCAAATTGTAATTTCCAAAAAACTCAAATTTTGCGAATAATTCAATAGTAATAAATTTCTTTTATTTTTCTTTTTTCTATTATTACGTTTTTAGACGAGCAACAAAGAAACGCGAAAAGTAAACGAATTTAATCAATTACTAAAAAGATGCCACGCGGAAAATATCCAAATCATAAAGGCCGCAGCCGTCAATTTACTCCAGTCGAGGAGCTTCAGCGCGAACGTGAGCTGGAGGTATGCATAATGTCATCGCAGCTCAAGAAGTTAAACACAAGCAGTAGCAGCCTTGATTCCGTCCGCGAGGGAGGGAACAACAGCGATAAAGGCTCCGAGATTGGAAATCTGGCTGGCCGTGTTAATGGGAATAGTAATAATAGTAGTAAGAGTAGCGCCAGTGGCAAAGGCAGAAATGGCACCACCAAGGGTCGCAAGCTGGGCGGAGCTGTTGAGGGGTTGATTGAGATATCGAACCCGAATCGCCCCATTAAGAAGTCTCAAAAACTGGCTCTACTTAATGGAGATGACAAGGGCAAGACCACTGATGATACATTGCTAGAGAAGCGTCGACGTGAGCGTGCTCGCGAGAAGCCGCGCTCCAATTCGAATCAAAAAACGGCCAGCGAAGCCAGTGCCGATCTCGCTCGTCTTGCCATCGTACGCAAGAAACGCGAAGAGGCTGCCGAGCAACGTTTGGCTGCCAAAAGGGAGAGTAACAATCCTTCCGGGGATGGGGCAACACCAAACCCATCCAAATCTGATATATTCATCAAGAAGAAGAACAACAAACACAAGTCAGCGACCATGGTCGGGGGAACCAATGAATTCCTCAAGAAACCCAACACCGAAGAGAATGTTAGCAAATTTTTGAAAGGCGGCCGCCATGGCAACAAGCTAAAAGAGGGAACCCACAAGCACTTAAAAGAGGCAAAATAGAAAACAAAAACAAAAAAAAAAAGATGAAAATAACGTTAACACATGGAGGAAAATTAACACAAATCAAAGTAGGCTAGCTCAGAATTGTTGGGACCAACATATGATATATACATACATGTATGAATATAGTATATATATAGCTTAGCCTTCAGTCATTTCGATTTCATTTCACGTTTATTTCGATTTGTAAATTTTGAGTTACCTACACGAATAAAACAAATAAAAACTATAGCAAAATTATTTTGTATTCAAACTGGTGCCACTCCTGCTTTACGGTGGATGTAATCAAGTGTGTGTGTATACATACATACATATGTAGAAATATATATATCATTTCAGCGATATATGTATACGTATGTATAATCAATCATTTCTAATCGAATTAATTAGATTGTGTGGGTGTGCGTGCGCTTGCGCTAACCAAAGTGAATGAACACTTTTTCAAAAATTAATCAAAACGGCAGAAAGCGCGCGCACGCATACACGTCGATAGGCAGGCATGCACGCTTGCGCGTTAGCCAACACTTATTTTGTTTTTCATCTGGTCGAGTGCATAATGCAGCACTGGCCTCACAGCTGCCGGCCTACCAATCACCAATAAATAGTCTTTCGAGTTGCAGCAGCAGTGGCGGAAAGAAGCAGCAGGCTAAACGGAACGATAAAAAGCGAAATTTCAAGAACAAAAAAAAAAAAAAACTATAAAATGGAAGGCAAACCATTGAAACGTGTGCGCTCTGAGGACGATGAGAGCAACAATAATGTAACTCAAACCAAAGTCTGGGTGAATGAGAAAATTAACGACTCGTGCGATCCTGAAAAAATGAAGGCTGTTCATGGTAAATACACCAAATTTCCACATAAAAAGCAAACGCACAGTCATTTACATGAACGAACATGGGCACACATCAACAGATACATATCAACAGGCACTCACATACATTCGTTTTGCAGAAAAAACTACGAAAATGCTTTTCAAGGGAGCCGCTAACATCGATGCGAAGAAAGATGAGCCAAAGGAAGAGACTACAGCGCCGGCACCGATTCCCGTTAGTGCGGAAAATTTGTGCGAGCAATACCAGCTGATTGGCGATGGCAACATAATACTGCGTGACATGAATCCGGATACTGTCAATCCGAGTCTGGAGCGACGACTATCCACATGCTGCCGTCGCCCGACCCTAATCCGCGGCACTTGCGTCAATTGTACATTTGACTTGTGCGAGGAATGCGGTTATTCGTGCGTCGAATGCAGCCAGTTTATATGCCGCACTTGTGTCACTCTGTTGTAAGTGTCCCTTTATTTTTCATCTTCTTCTCTCCCATAATCCATTTTATTATGCAGCGGCAATCGTCCGGAAGAAGCCGAGCATCCACTGTGCGAAGTCTGTCAAATGTTCGTGGCCTAAGCGAAGTGTGCGCTTACCAATACACACAAACGAGCACACAGTCGCACACACTTGCAGGCAGGTGCAATCAAACAGAAAACTGAATGTATACTTTATAGCATTATAAATGAAAAAGAAGTACAAATCAAAATAAGTAACCAACGTCTATTATGAGAACAAGAACTGAGCAGGTACCTTGAAAAAAAAAAAAAAAAACAAAACAAACTAGAAGAAAACAAAAGTCCAAATCAAAAATAGATAAAAAATATATTCTGGCAAGGTTCTAGCTAAATACACGCACACCAACACGCATACACTCACTCACTAAACTGGCACGTACACATACGCGCGTGCACACACATACGCTTATACTTGAACGCTCATCGAAATAGAATTTCTTAGCTTAAGTTCAAATAAAACTACCAAAAAGCAAAAGCACAAGCAAAAAGAACTGATATTAATGTTAATGAAAATTATTGATATATATGATGCTGACTGTCAATGCATCCATACATCAATAAAATCAATTGCAAATTTTATTTGCTAACGTCTTTCTCTCTATCTCTCTCTCTCTCTCTCTCTCGTGGAATGTATCAAGCTGAGTTCCCAAGTTGTGAACACAATTTATGAAGTTGGAGAGCGAGAGAGAGAGAGAGGAAAATAAGCTTTAATCCACGCATTAATGCAATAAAATTAAGTTGATCAAATTTTAGATGATTTGATGTTAATCACATTTATTCATTTAAGCAAATAAAAAAAAAAGAATAAAACGAGAAAGAAAATAGAAATATAATACACATATCTCTTGTCTCTTTGTTTAAGCCGGTAAATGCTAATCTCTCCTTGCATCAACTCTCTGTGGGACCACTCTCCAGCTTAAACCTTGCCACGGAACTTGTGGTATTTGTCATGCTCCTTGACGAGGCTCTGATACATGCGTGCGCCCGCCTCGCTGCTGGAGCGCAGTATAAAGTGACCCGAGCGATGGTCACAGATGGAGATTAGCTCGTGACAGAATCGATCCACTTGTAATTTGATCTGTTCAGGAATAGAGGAAGAGATTAAATCGAATTCGGAACAAACTGTCTTCCGCCTACCTTCTCGAAGAGCGTTGTGGGTCTTTCGGTGTCAATCATTTGCTTGATGGTGAAAATGAGCAGAAACGGTGCCACACGCTTCATGGCCAAGGCCAGCCCGGCTGAAATGCCCGCCATGAGCGTCGACAGCTTCAGCCCCAGCTCGGCCAGCCCCTCCAGTTCGTCCTCCGTCAGGCTTTGCGCCTGCTGGCGTTCACTGCGATAGCATACAATCGACTGCACCAGATCCTGGCAGATGGCGCTCAGCTGTGCGGCCCGATCCGCCATCAGTGCGGCATGCTGGCGTAGCAGGAGCAAACAGTTCTCCGACAGCGTTGCGTGCAGCCGCCGAAAGTCCAGCCAGCTGCCGCCGGCTAGAATGAAACGTTTGATATTCAGGTCCAGCATGCTGGCCAATATCGAGTCCAGAGTTTCGCCATTCAGCGGCACAGTGCGATTGTTGGCCAAGGCGCTCTGTGCCTCCAGCAGACGCAGCACATGGTTGCAATAGGCGGCATCACTGGGCGCTGGCAGACGCAGGGAAACATTGCCGTTGATCAGCTTAAACTGCTCATTGAGCATCTACACGGTGGGAGCGAAAGACAGGGGCAGATTAACCAAGATCTAGCCAAGAGGAAAGCATTTTCTTACCGCTCCCTTGATGCTGCTCAGCGAGCACTTGGCAAAGAGCGTCATAAGGACGAGCACGTTTTGCAGGCTCGTATGCTGTGCCGGTGTCTCTGGTCGCTGCATCTCGTCCAGCTGCTGGCCGAGTCCTCGCAGCAGCAGCAGAAAATCCTCGTTCGTCTTGTAGCCAATGATGAGCTTAATAGCGGGCTCGATGCTGGCCATGTCCAGCGCTGAGCTGGCGGCAATATCCTTATTCAGTTGCCGCCAATAGCTGTCCAGCACAAACTCAATCTCGTCCTGGTCCAAATGCAGCAGCTGCCGGTGCGTCAAGGCCACATTCAGCAAGCGTATGGCATGGGCATTGCGGTAATTCAGCTAAAGCAAAGGATGAAGAATGAAAGTTAAGATTAAGTACTTTCTTGTAGCTGACTCTCTCTCTCTCTCTCTCTCTCTCTCTCTCTCTCTCTCTCTCTCTCAAGTCTTGGCCATAATTCGGATTCATTTACATGTGGAATATGATATCCCATTGGGCATATGCGAACCTAACCTAACTAATGCCAATTAACGGTAAATGTTTAAGTGCTTGAGTTTCAAATTGGACTTTCTGAATGCTCAGAGCATAGTTATAACAGATAGAGCTGTGAGAAATAAAATAGCACCACTTCTAACCTAGATTTTAGCCATCGGAAAAAATATATATGTAGATATACTTATTTACTAGCGTATATTCCTCTACTCCTAAATAACATTTTAATTTTTTATGGTGGGATGTGGGTGATATGTCCAAAATCTCTAAAACCTTAATTCAGCGTATGCCCCACAGAAACTTACACAGTAACTCTCTAGAATTGGTAGCATTCAAATACTCAAATAATCGATTATTATCGATGAAAATAAATGCAGGGATATCACAAAAAAAGACAGAGATTAAATAGAATTGCATTTGGAATACATGAATGTACATGCATATATTAAATTTTTAAGCCCTCTATATTTTTTAAAAGGCTAAGAGATATGCCCAAGTCGATCAACAATATATGTACATATACAATTTATGGGTTCTACGACGTCTTCTTTCTACTACATGCTCTTAAACAAACCCCAAACACCCTGTTTAGGTATTCTCAAAGGAGCAACAGCCAGTTATGCACCATCCTCTAACAATTCTAAACAGACTTCCACATAGAGCCTGAAGCATCTGAGTTATCCATCAAGTTATCCATCTCTTGCAGCTTACCGAATGTCCTATGTAGATCTTGCAAATGCGCCTAAAGTTCTCGTCGATGACTGGCACAGCAATCGCCTGCTTTGGCTCCTGCTTGGTCTTCTTGACGTTCTCCTTCTGCTGCTTGGCCTCGTCGATGCTCTCCTTCTGCTGCTTGTCCTCGTCGACGTTCTCCTTCTGCTGCTTGGCCGCACGATTGATGCAGCTGCTCAGGTAAATGGCATAGCCACTGAGTGTCTGCTGCACGAACTCCTTGTAGACGGCGGGCGACTTTTTCTGCGAGCGAAACTTGTGACTGACCAACTGGCCATAGATCTCGAGCAGCGGCTGCAGGTGACGCTGCATGCGTCGCGCCTGCATGCCTGTGCCACTGGCCAGGGTCTCGATGGCGAGCAGCAGGAGGCGGCAATGCGAGGCTGACAGCTCTGGCAGCTGCTCGCGGAAGAGCGCGGCGCTGCTGGCCAAAAAGAGATCGCTGCCGGGCGTCAGGCGACGTATGCAGCGAGCAAAGAACATCTCATAGAAGCGCCAGGCAGTGGCATTGGCAGTGGCCTCAGCCTCAGTCCCATTCCCATCCGCAGCGTCATCCGCATCCATGTTGAGCGGCACCAGCTGCAGGAGCTGCGCCAGCTGCGGCAAATGGCTGCACAGCGGCAAAGGTTGACCGAAGTGCAAAAGATCTAGAAAAACATAGAGTTAGCATGTCAGGATATATGAAGCGGGATTATCTGGGAGAGTCACCTATGAGCTGTTCGAGCAGCTGGTTGGACAGCTGCAGTAGTTGGGCGCGTCGCACGTCTTGGTAGAGCGTCAAGAGGAGCAGCCAGAGGCGCAGCTTGAGGCTGCTTTGCAGCTGGGCCAGTGGCAGCTGCTGCAGTGCATCAATTAGCTCCTGTGTGGATTCAGCGGGCAGCGCTGGTTGCTTTGTGCTCTCACAGCTATCGCGCAGCGTTACGCCCAGGGCTGTTTCATCTGTAGCCTGTGGCATCTGTTTGGCCAGTAGGCAGCCCTTGATCTTGGCCAGCTTCAAGCTATCCACGAACTGCTGCAGTAGCTGCATGGTCAACAGCTCCACGCACTCGGCATCCTCCAGAAGATTGGGTAAATGTTGCTTCTGCTGCTGCTGCTGCTTCAATCGCATTTCCTTCTGGGCACGCGTCAAGTGGCCAAAGAGCTGTTGTGGCAGCAGCTCCACTAGCGCATCCGGACAAGGCGCCAGCCGCTGATCGGGCAGGAGCAGCCAGCCGGACAGTGTGAGCTGCAGTTCGAGTCGCTGCAAGCGCTGGCGGCACAGAGATTTGCCAAAGTTATGCACGCGCTGATGGATCAGCTCCCACTCGTCGCTGGAGAGAAAGCGCTGCAGTTGCGGCAAAGCCGGAGTCGACTGCGGCTGCTCCAAGCCATCCGGCCAGTAGTAGGCCAGGAGCAGATCGAAGTTATTCGCCCGCTCCACACACTCCAGGAAGACATTCATGGTGCGCCGGTTGTGCTCCAGCGAGAGCAGGTACTGTCCGAACCGCTGCAGCACCTGCATCGTGTGCTTGCGCTGTTGCTCCAGCTCCACATGATGCTGCTGTAAGTGCTCTGCCAGCCGGGTGCCGAGGAAATATTGCGAGAGCAGCGTCGCCTGAAGCTCGATGGCAAAGTTCAGATTGCAGGGCAGGACGGCCATCGAGTCGGGCTCCAGCAGCTCGGCAAAGCTGTGCAGCAGACTCTTCCAGATGACGATCGAGGGCTTGGACATCAGCTGGCTGACCAGCCGGATGAAGGCGGCGCCAGCCGTTGAGCCTGGCCAGGTCTGGACCAGGGCATCTGTGCTGTAGCTAATTGCATTTGATTGGCAACTGGAAGTGGAATTCGATTTAAGCAAGAGTTGCACATAGGCATTCATTAGTTGCTCTTCTTCCTGCTCGGTTAGCGGCTCCTGATCCGGCTCCGGCTTCGGCTCCTGGCGAATGCGTTTGCCAGTCTCAAAGTTGGGCAGCTCATAGTTGTGCAGCCATTCGCGCAGTGACTTCAGCAGGATCATAATGAAGCGCTCGGTGCGACTCAGGCGTCGGCACATGTCCAACAGCAGGACGAGATATTCGGAGTACAGCTGCAGCTCCACTTCGTTACGTTTGACGGCGCACATCATCCAAATAGTCAACTGATAGATATGCGGCTCCACCAGCATCGGATTGAGCCGCAGCGCTGCACAGAGCATCTGCAGCACTCTGCCTAGATGCCGCTCCCGGTTGATGCGTACGAAATCACAAAGTGCATTGGCCATGTAGGCGATGCCCGTTTTCTTCAGCTTGTCGGGAAAGTTCAGCTGGATGTTGTGGCGACGCAGTGCCTCCAGTGCATGAGTGGTCAGCACTAAAGCTATGAAGTTATCCTTGGGCGTGGCCTTGGGTTGAGCCTTACGGCTTTCACCACTGTCCGCCTTTTGTGGCGCTTTAAATTTGAAGATGTGATCTAGCACCTTGTATAGCTTGTCCGTGTCGTAGCGATGATTCACCAGGGCACACTCCAATGTTAGCAGTTGGACATGCAACGGCTGCTCGTCCATCAACTTTATTGCAGCACGTATACGCAGATGCTGCGTCAGGTGCACCTCCAAAGCGGCCAGCTGCTCGAAGCAGCAGAATCCGTGCTTTCGCAGCTCCAGCAAGAGCTGGCATAGCGGATGCAGTGCCCCATTCACATAGGCCTTCAGCAGACGATCGTTGTTCTGGGCACGCTGCACATAGTCACGGAGCTGCTGTAACACAGGCAATATAAAGTCCGCATGCCGTGGCTTTGGCTCATCTTCATTGTCAATCAGCAACTGTCGTTCGTAGCAGCTAAAGAGTATGCCATAGCTTCGCATGACCAGATCATAGTCGGCACGGAGTGCATCCTGCACCAGCTCGAAATTGAGCAGGCATTTCAGCAACTGTGGATGCCCCTTGGCCTGGGCAGGAGGTGCTTTATCGATGCGTTTCAGCACTGCTTCAATAAGCGCCGATTTTGTAGCAACGGTCACTAAACCTGGCTGAGCACGCAGGCAGAACAGTTGCTGCAGCTGTTCCACGGGCATTTCCTCCTCTTCGACGAGTGTATCCGCGATCCATTTGCAAACCACTTCATGTTTGTTTATGTACACAAAATCCAGTGATTGCCACACTTTAATAGCGAATTCCAGGCGCGCTGTATACGTTTTGCTCTTATCGTCGAGCCATATTCGTAGCTCTGCAATGATTTATTTAATCATTATCAGTTTTTATTCAAAACGTGCAGCTTACCTTCGCCTATCTCCATGTTGCAAATACAAATTCCGATAACGATAGCATTTTGTGCACGTGTAGCACTTGGTGGCTGTTATCGATTAGCGCTGTGCAAAAGTGTTGGATAACTGTTTACAAAATATAATTAAGAAGGTAATGCAAATAAAGCAATTCGTGCATATGTTGTGTTCATTCTTTATTTAATATAGAAATAATTAATTATATATATATATCACATATATATTGTGTTATTGTAATGAAAAATATATAAGAAATAAATCTGTTTGAAAACATTTAGCTTGAGCTTGTTTCTGAAAACAAATAGTTTCCCACTTAGTGTGAGCTGACGTCACAAACTTCCATCGACATCATCGATAGCTATGCGTTATCTTTCAACTGTTATTATGCATTGCATCAGCTGTTTTAGTTGTGTTTGCGGACCATTTGTGTAGGGGTCAAAATTTACTAGTTTTTCATTATATTTTTATACATAATATGATAGCATATAAATGAATGGTGGTGTAACATTAAAGTCATAGCTTACTGCATGAATGCCTGTTCTATAAAATAGTAAAATATTGAATAAAATCGCAATGTTGCTGAATTGCACAAGGGTGAAGCACATGTGCTCAACCTTACGAATTACCCAAATACCTTCCGCCGTCCCTAGATTTCCACTTAATTCGTCTAGCATTCATAACTATCTACTGAGACGACAGCATCATCATCACCATCATCCTTATAATATTCGACCGCCAGCTGGGCGACAGCTGCTTGGCTCCCCCTCCTCCCCCTTATCGACAGGTGCCTGTGTTGGTGCAGGCGCTCGCGCATCCAGATGGACGGCACGTCTGCTCAACGTACGACGATGCATGAGCAGCAAAGAAGTCAAGCTGGCCGTGCCGAAGGTGGACACCTTCCTTAAGACCGCCAAATGCGAATCCTCGCGTTTCATGAATATGATGAAGGAAGAAAAGTGGGTGCTACTAAGTATGGACCGCCACCAATCGATCTATGCCAATGAGTCTGGCTCATACGATTAGGCTTCTTTCGTTGCAGTGGGGCTTGCTTGTTTGGTCATCTCCTCGGCCATCACCATGAGCGTACCCTACTTCCTGGGCAAGGTCATTGACATAGTGTTCAACAAGGATGGCATGGATGAATCGGCCGTAACCAGTTTACGAGACTACTCCAAGATGCTGCTCGTCGTCTTCATCATTGGTGGCCTGGCCAACTTCTCGCGCGTCTATTTGTTTGGCACCGCAAGTGAGCCCGCAGCACAATTTGACTTTCTCTCTCTGTGTCACACTCTATTCAAACTTTCTCCGCTTTACTTGGCACAGCATTGCGTATTGTGCGCAGACTGCGCTCCAATCTGTATCGATCGGTGCTCATGCAGGAGGTATCCTGGTTCGATACGCGCGGCTCCGGCGAGCTTATCAACCGCTTGAGCAACGACACATACTTTGTGGGCACCTCGCTCAGTCAGAACATATCCGATGGGCTTCGCTCGCTGGCCATGATCGGTGTAGGCACCGTCATGATGGTGCGTCCCCTGCGTTCATCAATCTCTTAACTCTGGTATAATCCGTCTACTATCTCCCACTCTGTAGGTCTATACGTCGGCCAAGCTGGCGCTTGTCAGCGCATTGGTTGTGCCCGCTCTGGCTGGGATTGCCATCATCTATGGACGCTATGTGCGCCGCATAACCAAAACCGAGATGGACAAATTCGCGGAGGTGATGAAGCATGCCGAGGAGCGGTTTGGCAACGTGCGCACTGTCAAGATCTTTGGCCGCGAGCACAACGAGTGCGTGGAGTACGATAAGAAGCTGGACGAAGCCATTGAAATTGGCTACAAGGAGACTAAGGCTAGATCCATATTCTTTGGCCTGGTGAGCTAGCTGAGAGGCAACTCCAAATGAATTTAAATCACAATTTTCGCCCATATATTCAGACCGGCTTCTCGGGCAACGCGGTCATCATATCGGTGCTCTACTATGGCGGCACTCTGGTGCTCAACGAGGAACTCACCATTGGCGCCATGACCTCGTTCATGCTGTATGCCGGCTACACAGCTATCGCCATGAACGGCCTGTCCAACTTCTACAGCCAGCTGAACAAGGGAATTGGCGCCTCGCAGCGCATTTGGGAGATCATGGACAGAAAGTTTGCCATGCCCATTGACAAGGGTATTATCCCAAGAGCCAAGATCATTGGCGAGGTTGATTTTAAGAATATTACCTTTGCCTATCCGGCGCGCAAAGAGTGCGCAGTGCTATCGAACTTCTCGCTCAAACTAGAGCCAAACCAGACGACCGCCCTGGTGGGGCGATCTGGGTCGGGTAAATCAACGTTGGCAATGCTCCTGTTGCGTCTGTATGATCCGCAGCAGGGTGCCGTCTACTTAGATGGCATGGACTTGCGAAAATTGAATCCACATTGGTTGCGCCAGCATGTGAGCGCTGTTAGCCAGGAGCCGGTGCTCTTCTCTGGCTCCATACGCTCGAACATTCTGTACGGACTGCAACCGGGCAAGGAGCCCGATGAGCAGCTACTCCAACAAGTAGTCAACGACTCAAATGTCTCCGAATTTGTCAGCCAGCTGCCCAATGGACTTGAAACCATTGTGGGTCAAAGGGGAATCCTTTTAAGTGGCGGACAAAAGCAACGTGTGGCCATTGCCAGAGCGCTGATTAAGGTAGATCTAGATAATTCTACATATTTATATGCTAATCATGTTCTTTGTTACAGAATCCCACCTTACTCATCCTGGATGAGGCAACAAGTGCACTGGATGCCGTTTCGGAGCAGCTAGTGCAGACGGCGCTGGAAAAGCTCATCCGTGGCCGCACTGTGATTACCATAGCCCATCGACTAAGCACAATACATCAAGCGCACAAAATAGCAGTCATTGACGAAGGGCGCATTGTGGAGCAGGGCACCTTTAACGAGCTGATGGGCAGGGCAAATGGCGTTTTCAGGGAGCTGGTATCCAAGCAAGCGTTTGGTGGCAAGTAGTTATTGCAGCGTGTAAGCTGCACCAAGTGTTCATAGACATATATACACAACAAGTTGTATATATCTTAGACAAGACAAATTTACAAAGCATTGTTATTATTTTTACATGGGAAACTATATTAATCAGTTCTATTGATAGGTGTTATTAAAGGTAGACTTGGTTTAAACTATGGATAATAACACTAGACGAATGTTTTAACAAGCAAATTCAAAATGTTAATGTTAATTTATATTAAGTAAATAAATAAATGGACAATTTGTACAATGAGTTAAATGTGGGCTGTAAGCATTTTGAATGGCTTAATTACGCGGTATGAGGAAGCGTTGCCAGCTATTTTGAACTTAAATCAGCTAACAGAGGATTACGTCATAATCTATTTTAAGTTGATAAAAAAAACTAAAGTTTATATTTATGTTTGGCAAACAAATGGAAAGTATATTTTGTTACAAAGCAAGAAATACGTTGATATTTGAATTGTATTCCACCTTGAATAAGAGCTGCCACCTCGTTCGATCATTCGATTGTAAATAAAAGGAACTGGGCGTTGCCACCATAATTGCATATCCGATCAAAAGAATTTGTGGCTATTTTTGTTTTAAACATTTTATTTAGTTTTTACAAATGTTGTTTTTACAATTTTACATTTAGCTTAACTCTAATTAACAGGCACAGAAAATAAATGCAGCAATTCCTTTCCACAGCTCACGCCACACGAGTGCATGTGTGTGGGTGTCTGTGTGGTTTTTGTATGTGTGTGGGTGTCTACTTCATGGTGGGCATGGCCACGGCCGCCTGGGTGTGGTTGACATCTGTCTCGCGCCACAGCTGGGTAACGGTCTTGGTCTGTGTGTAGAACTTAATGCCCTGCTTACCATAGAAGTGATGATCGCCGCGGAAGGAGCCGCGTGTGCCAGTGAAGGAGAACATGGGCAAGGGCACGGGGATGGGCACATTGACGCCCACCTGGCCGGCATCGATCTCGTTGACGAACTTGCGTGCAGCAGCACCGTTGGTGGTGAAGACGGCGGTGCCATTGCCATACGGATTGGCGTTCACAATTGAGATGGCTTCGTCCAGGGTGTCGGCATTGAGGATAACCAGGACGGGGCCAAAGATCTCCTCGGTGTAGCACTTCATGTTTGGCTTGACATCGGTCAAAATGGTGGGGCCCACAAAGTAGCCATTCTCATAGCCGGGCACTGTGATCTTCCTGCCGTCGAGGATCAGCTTGGCGCCCTCCTTCACGCCCGATTCGATCAGATCGTTGATGCGCTTGCGAGAAGCGTCACTGATGACGGGTCCCACATCGGTGCCGGGCACATGGCCAGCGTTAACCTTCAGCTTCTTTGCGCGCTCAACCAGGTCGGGGATCCACTTCTGAGCTTCGCCCACAAACACGGCCGTCGACAGGGCCATGCAGCGCTGTCCGGCAGCGCCAAAGGCGGCGCCAGCCAGCTGGTTGAGGGTGTTCTCCTTGTTAGCATCGCTCAACACAACACCGTGGTTCTTGGCGCCCATGTTGCTCTGAACACGCTTGCCATTCCTGCCGGCGCGCTCGTAGATGTACTTGCCGGCCGTGTCGGAGCCCACAAAGGAGACGGCCTTAATCTCGGGTGCGTCGCAAATGAAGTTGACTGCGTCGTGCTGGCCGTGGATGACGTTGACCACACCGGGTGGGCAACCGGCTTCGTTGAGCAGTTCCATCAGCAACATGGTGGCACCGGGCACACGCTCGGAGGGCTTCAGCAACATGGTGTTGCCAGTGGTAATGGCCACGGGGAACATCCACAATGGGATCATAGCTGGGAAATTGAATGGGGCAATGCCGGCGGTGACACCGAGTGGCATGACCAGCGAATAGGTGTCCATGTCGCGGGCAACATTTGCCACCGTCTCACCCATCTGCAGCGAGGGAATGCTGCAACAGTGCTCGACAACCTGAAGACCGCGGAGCACATCACCCTCAGCATCGACCAGAGTCTTGCCCTGCTCCTTAGTGATGTTCTTTGCCAGCTCACCCATATTGGCCTTGATCAAGGCCTGCAGCTTGAACATGACCTGCTGACGTGACACCACAGAGGTGTTGCTCCATGACTTGAAGGCGCGCTTGTTGGATTCCAGAGCGGTCTTCATTTCCTCAGGCGTTGCCTTGGGCACACGGGTCACCACCTTGTCGGTGGCCGGATCTTTCACATCGATCCAATCGTTGGTCTTTGACTCCACAAACTTGCCATCGATGAACAGCTTGGTTGTGGGAGCAGACGACGAGTAGCTACGCCTGGCGATCAAACGTGCCTGCAAAAGTAATTTGATTTAACATTTTAATAATATCGAAAAGTCGATTAAAGTGATATTTGAATCTCTTGGCTAAAGGTTGCCACATCTACTAAATAGAAAAGTACCTCAATGGTACACTTCCTGCATAAGAGCTGTCCACATGTGCAACAAGAGTGTCAACGTAACATGTCTTAACGGTAAAATTAAACGTTACATATCGACCACATTTTCGAAGGACATCAAGGATTGACAACCCTTAGTATTTTTGGCATATTATATATGCTCTTGTTTAGAAAAAATCTTATAAACTTATATAAAAAAATTTTTTTTTAATTGCTGGGTGCTACGTGCCACGTCTCCCACATGCGTAACGACTGTACTTAAAATTTATCTCATAGTTAATTCTTTCTACAAATAAATTCGTAATTGTTCTCTGCATTATATAAAAATTTGCCTAAATAATTCTCATTGTAATTGAATGAATATGCAAATTGGCCTGGCCACAAGGAACTTTTGCCCTATGGAGAAAGCAAATTGACTTTGGGTTTTTTCCAAATTAATTTTGGATGACATAATAATTTAATTATGTCAACTTTCTATGTTCCCAAATCATTTCAAGGACATCTTATACCAAATTGTAAATTATAAATATCAATAACAATAAATTGGTACTTTTCGTTGTAAATTTAGGTACAATATATTTTTTTGCCAAGTGGCATCCCTTTTTCCATAAGAATAAAAGTTCCATTGAGAAATTTTCCACAGTTGCATCAAAACAGTAAAGTTGCGTAAAAGGCAAACGCGCCTGCGCTCGTTGGACAACTTGGGCCAGGCTTCACTGTATACTATACATATGTATGTATGTATATATGTGCATATCTTGCAAGTGTTTTACTGCAATACTTTAAATTCAACAGGTGAGCATGGCTTTGCCTGGCAACATGATAATACATACATATGCGCGGACAGACACACACACATCCATATATACTTAAGGGATAAATGCCACGCCTTTGCTTATCAGTGGCAGATGCCGCCCGTTTGATAGGCATTTATTTATATGGCTTAACGTCTAATTAAAATACAATTGTATTACCCTCATGCATACATGCAGAAAAATAGTTTATATGTGTGTGTGTTAGTGTCCGTTCTGGCGTTATTGTGATCGTCGCATTATCTGAATCGCAGCAAACTAAAATTACGTAACATGTGTTTGCGCTATCAAATAGTCTGTTCTTTTTTTTCACGTTTTACCGTTTAATGTGGACAAATTTATGAGCACACACACATACACAGGCAAGCACTCGTGCTTTAATTTGCATGCAAATGCAAGGCACTGCACAAACACACACACATACACGCCCACTTTTCAGTGCACTTGCAAGTGTCCAAGGCCCCCTCCCGTCTTATGCTTCCTAACACTGCGCAATTGTTATCGATAGCCGTTGGTAGCACATGCAAATAGAATTTCTTACCTCAGCACCAATTAGACGCACAAAGGACATCTTGCCACAGGTGATGGAAATGTTAGGTCAGGGATTCTGGATAATGGAAGCTCCGGCTGGAAACGCGTGTGTTGCTGCTGCTGCTGCGGTTGCTACTGCGGCTGGCCCAACCAATGGTCTCACTATAACTGAACTGAAAGCAAAAGCAAAACCAAAACCAAAAGCTGAGGCTGTGCCAAGTTGGGGCCCCAGCGCGCGCGTGTGTGGTGTGATTGTTGATATACGACGCGACGCGACGGCAGCGGACGAAGCCGGCGAACGGTCGGTTGGTCGAACCACTTTATTAGACGAGCACACATACACACTTCTGTATGTGTATATGCGTGTGTGGGTGTGTGCGTGCGTGTGTAGCCAAGAACTTGAACGAGCTGTTGTTATTGTTTTTATTCTAGTTCGTTGGGGGCTCGATAGTCTATGCATGTGTGTGTGTTTGTGTGTTTGTTTTGCGTTTTTCTTTTTTCTTTTTTGCGACGTTTGAGACACACGCACAGGCGCTTAAGCAGCACATACTTACATACACACATATGTACATGTAAATATACAAATTAATCATTGCGAGTAAAATATTCATACATATATGTATTTCTTTATGATTGCTCGCACGTGCAATACTTACATACATATTTGAAATCATATGCTGCTCCATTGATACATATGTATGTGTGTACAGGAATTACGTAGGTACGTAATTCTTCTATTAGTTGCATGTATACATGTACATGTTGCTGGTCACACACACACACATCATTCTACATGCACTTATAAAACCTGACACTTTTTTTAATAAGTTAATAAGTAAACATGCTTAGGTGTGATTATTATATACTTAAGCAAAGCTGAAGTAATACATTAACATACTTTTGGGCTGCACTAATAAGGATGCAGCTTTATTTTCGTATAATACTGAAGTATACTTTTAAGCGCACGTTTATTTATTAAAGCTGCAAATTCAATTCGAATTCGCTCCTGCTGCTTGTTTGAGTCTTTGCTGTAGCTCAAAGCTAAATTGATCATTTAATAATGTTTCAATCCCAGAGCGAATATATGAATTGGTCATTTGGTTCGAGAACGTGCTTATCTACTTTGAGAGGCTGGTTCAATTCTTGGCTTCGGCTCAAACCTTGTTTGTTCAGTTAACAAAGTTTCAAACCCAGGCAAAATCAATGCCTAGCTATAAGCTATAATTGTATATGACTACATTCCGAAGCTGGTTCAAGTCTTGGCTTCAACTGATCATTTATCAAAGTTGCACGCTCAATTCGAATTTACGGTGTAACCTGCCATTTGGTTTGAGCACATGAATATCTGTGTATATGTTTTTTTTTTTTAACTGGTGTAAGTCTTGACTGCGACTCAAACTGGTTTGTGTCCCGGCTATTTATGATTTAGCGTATAAAACTTTGCTTTTAAATAATAAATTTTAATTTGATTGCTTAAATCTCGTTTAAGCAGGTCTTAATTTCTTAATTTCTTAATTTTTTTTCTAAGCTAAAGAGTTCAAAATGAAATAGAAAATAAATGTTTTTATTTTTGTTCGCAACTTTTATTTGTTTTTGCATTGTCATATCAATTAAGACGTAAATAGTTAATTAATTTAGTTAAGTACGCTAACCGCTAAGTACATAATTTAATTTGTTCAATAATTTTTGTTGTTGTTGTTATTGTTGTTTTTGTTTTGTTGTTTCTCCTTCATAAAATAGTTAGAAAACTCGTGTTGAAATGCTTTGGTTATTGCTGTAAAATGTTTCGACTACTTCATATATATAGATATATCTGCTATATATAGCACATTATTTATTTATTTTGTTTTTTTTTTTTTATGCATACAAGTTTTTTTAATTAGTTCCAAAAAAATTGTTTTCCATATATTTCGTTTCTTTGCTGAGTTTTTCTTTGTATAGTAAAATATTTATATGTTAAATGTT